GGTAGTTTTATTCATCCTTTTTATAAGTGTTTGATTATCGCTAATATGCAGTGTAATGAATTAAAATTGTGTCCAATTTAAATCCTTCTAATGCAATATATGAATGCAGAAATATTCATTGACATCATTTTATTTTTTCACTAGAAATATACAGCTTTTTTTCATTTCCATCCAATACACAAACATCTATACATTTGCTGTTTCAATTGACAGCACAAAAATTATATTTAGCTGTCATTAAGGGCAAATAAGATATATATTTCAATTTAAAATAACATAAATACAGTTTCAATATACAAATAATCATAAAACAGCACACCTAGCTTTTTTATAGTTTCCATGATTCTATTGGTTGTCTTATAACATCCCAATGCAATCGTAGGTACTATGTTGTACTTTAATGGTGCTGCTTCTTGTTTCAATCGTAATACATTGTTTCACAGAATTAACATTAAATGCTTACATGAAGCTACACATTTGAACCTGATTTATAGTGTAAGAAAACTGGTATACGTTTAGTAATTATTTAATAGTTTTTAAGGTAAAGTGGATAAATTTTAATAGATTGAAAAATGGGTTAGGGATTATTAAAAAAATAAAGAAAAGCTTTAAAATTTAAAAAGCGTGTCGTAGAATTAAATAACGCATATTAAATTGTAAAAAAAGTTTTTTTAAAAAATAATTTCATACACTTATATTATTAAATTGCAAAAAAATAAGAAAGAAATTTAAAACACAATATTTTTTTCTATTTTTTTTAAAAATTATTAACTTAATAACTAAATTTTAAAATGAAAAAAATGCTTTAAAATAAAAGAAAGTTTTATGCAGGTCGAAGAAGAAACTGGTATAAGTTTAGTAATTATTTAGAAGACTTGATCTTAAGTAATAGTTGGTAATTTAATAGATTGAAGGATGAATTAGCGATTATTTTAAAGAAAGAAAAGATCAAAATTTAAACAATGTGTCTTACAATTAAAGATAATAAATAATGCATTTAAAGTTGAATAAGAAGTTTATTTAAAGTGATTTTAAACACGGAAAATGATTTCAAACAGAAATATTACGAAATTAAAAAAATATATTTATGAAATAAAATTTTTTTTGTAAAGTATTTTAAAATAATTGACTTGAAAACTAATTTTCAAAATTAAAAGAGAGTTCAAGAAAATCTAATTAAATTCGAACAAAAAATCGGCATGTGTTTATTATTCAACTCTACGACTTAAATTAAGTCACGGTAATTATTATTAATAGTTTGAAAAGCAAGTTAAGGATTGTACAAAAAAGAAAGAAATGATAAAAACTTAAACAACGTGTCTTACAATTAGGGATAATAAATAATGCAAATAAAATTGGAAATAAAAGATTATTCAAAAAATGAATTCAAACACAAATATTACGAGATTACAAAAAAAAGAAAGAAAAAATAATTTTGATACAGATATTTCTAAGTTTTTTTAAAATAATTAACCTTAAAACTAATTTTTAAAAATGAAAAAATTATTTTAAACAGAAAAAAAATCTAATGAAATTCAAAGAAAGATTGTATAAAAAAATTGAAGAAAGATTGAAAAGATTAATAGTAGAAAGGTTGCAAGAATTATACAAAAACGGAAAGAAATGATAGAAATTTAATCAATGTGTCTCACAATTAAAGGTAATAAATATTACATATAAAATCTAAAAATGCTGTTATTTAAAAAAATTATTTCATACTTATATATTATAAAATTAAAAAATAATTTTAAATCATCATTTCAAAATAATCAACCAAAAAACTAGTTTTCAAAATGGAAAATTGGTATATATAGAAAAAAAATCTTATTTAATTTGATTAAAAATTGGAACAAAACTGATTAAAAAATTAAGATTGCTATTAATGTTAAAAACAATTCCTAACGATCAAAAACAGAAACCTAATAATTTAGAGATAAATTTTATAGTTATTTTAACACTGAAAATTACTTGGAAGGTTACAAAATTAAATACAAGTTAAATCATAATACATTAAACAATATCAATAAAGTATAAAAAAAATAGGTAATAAAGAAAGTATTTTTAAATTTTTTAATTATTTCTTAAATACATTATTTTGCTTTAATAATTATGAGTTTAATTATAATTTACATATAATGTGTTCGTATTAAACTTATTAGCTCAAATATAATCTGATAAACTGTACAAAATAGTACATGAATAATTTCCTAATGCATTAAATAATTTAAATAGGATTAATCAATTCATCATTCATTTGAAGAAATATGTTGATAATATGAAAATTCATAGATGTTTTATTGATATAATTTAGGTAAAAAATGTTTTTGAAGGAAATGTATGAAACTTTAAGAGTCTTACATCAGAATGTAATCATTTTAAACTTTAATATAGTAGTTTATAACAATTTGAATATACGATTAATTTTGATATTTATTAAGTTAAAGGGAATTAAAATATGAATAATTGTTTAAAATTGCATGCATGATTCTGGGTTTCTTTTATCCTATCTGCAAAACCAAGGAACTAAAACTACTGCTTATGAAAGATAAATCTAAGCGGCTATTATCTAATTTATTTGCGATTAATTGCATAGAAATAGAAGAACAAAGACTTGAATAATTATACTAAAGTGTCCTAAGATTAAGTTCTTTAGATTCTCCGTGTGAGTCTAATTAAATTTTCGGTCACTTAAATTTTTTACCAAATATTTCAAAATTATTCATTTTTTTTAAATATTTTGTATTAATAATTTTGTGTCACTACATTTTATGCGAAAATCGGATTCATGGTATTATTTACTTAGACTTATTCCTATTAGTACAGTATAACCCCTATAATAAGAGTCTGGTTAACTGCATTTGATTGCGCGATACACAGTGGAATAAATTTCTGACAAAGCGCAACTTTGATGCCTGTAGACGAAAACTGTAAGTAAAACTAACTTCTGTATTTTATTTTTGTAGTTTTATGTATATGCCTAAGGTTCTTATGTCAATCTAAGCAGTTATTATCTAACGTATTTGCAACTAGTTGTAGAGAAATTGAAGAGCTAAATTATGAATAATTCTGCTCAAGTTTTGTAGATTTTTTACGTAATTCTAACTCAATTTTCTGCCATTTCAAGTTACAGTTCTTCTGTATTTAGCCTGAATATTTCAAAATTATTAATCATCTTTAAATTTTATATTAATAATTTTGTGTCACTACATTTCCATGCGAAAATGTCATTCATAGTTGCACTTACTTTGATTTATTTTTATTTATATAGTATAATTCTTATAATTAGAGTCTGGTTAAACGGTGCTTATATTACCCAGTCGAGCAAAGTTTTGACATGCGCAGCTTTGTAGCCTACAAATTAAAATCATAAAAAAAACTAGCAGATTGTATTTCAATTTTGTAGTTTTATGTAAATGTTTTAGGTTCTTTCGTCAAAATGGTCAATAATTGGACACATAATTTTAACTGCGACTAAAAATATTAAATGTTGCGTACCAATGCTCTGGTTTCCATAGCTGATTTTCGTTGCACTTTTAATCATATTAGTTAAAAATTTGTTTGCTATTTTATTCTCAGACCAAAAGTGCTGTTTGCATAGAACAACCGAAAGAACCAAATTTATGCAATGCAGAAATACGAAAATGGTTTCTTGTTATTTTCACAATTACAGATACCCCCCAGAACTGAAATTCAACGGCATCATCAAAGAATATAGTTCATTATGCACCCTTTTTAATACGAAAGGATTCTGAGATTTGAAAGATCTAATACAACTTTAAATATACTTACTCTATATTCAAATATGCATTCAAATTTTAATGTTACTTTTTGTCAATGTCTGTTTAAGTATGATCTGTACATGTGCCAGATTTTCTAAGTTGCAATATTTTGACAGTAAGTTTTTCAGACCTAAGTTAAGTTTCAATAATTACTGAAAAAAGAAAAAAAAATTAGCTTTGCACTGCTTATATTCACTTTCCAGGTTTTTTAATGTCTAAATTTTCATATTCCAAAAAAACCATAAAAAACCAATGCTAATCTAACCTGCCACTCTCTTAATTAGCATATTTCATTTTATACTCGACTTTTTTTACGATCAAATTTTTCCACGTAGTTGTATATTCCAAGCTCTAAACTATATAAGGATATCAGGCTGTCCTTCATAAATTTGACATCACAAAATTTAAAATATCAATATTCTTAAAAATTCCTGTTCCAAAATATTTTTGCTTACGGCCAACAAAATGTATAATCTATATCATTTTTTCACATTTTTACAAAATGTGGTATCTTAACTGAAGTATTTAGCTTTTATGCATTACTTTTGCAACCGTAAAACTTAAATATTAATGATGTTTAAAAGGTTACAAAATTTTTGTTAAATATTTTTTTCGAAAAATATATACTTGTTCCTTTCTTTTTATTTTTGAACAACAAAACTAGTAAACTCAAAAGTATAAACTAATTTAAATTTTTGAATTTTATTTTAAACTTTTATCTGTTTTAGCTCATTTTTATGAATTCCAGGTGTTCCGTAAAGCCCATCTTCAATGTGTATTTTTGGAATCTTATCGGAAATGAAATAAAAATAATTATTTAAGATAGGAGAAATCAAAAATGCTATCGAAATCTGGCAATTTACTGATCAGGATGGTGACTTTAAAAAATATAAAACAAGTTTAACTGTAGGTTAAAACTTAAAGGTGTTACGGCTAATGGTCTTTTCATTTTTATCGATCACCTTTCGCAATAAAACCTATCTTAATGTTTAATTTATCCACCTGTGGCCGACATAGACTAAGAAGCCTACCCCTGCAAGATTTATAAATACGCTTAAACAAAAAATTTTGAAATTATAATATGAAATAAAAACATTATAAGGAGCCGGTATTTATTATCACTCATTTAATTTTAACTTTGATTAATTTATTTATTCAAATTTAAACAAATTATTTTTCAATAATAATGAATTAATAATTGCAATGGAAATGCGAAATTTATAAAAAAATACTAAATCGAAACGTTGTAAAAACTTGCTGATTTATTCCATTGGAATGAAATTTATCTTAATAATTAGTGAAAAAAATTCATTATCTTACAATTTTTATAATTAGGGTTAGTCAAGGATTATTATTATTTGTAAAGTGAACAATTAAAACATTTAATAAATGGAGAAAAAAAATTGTAATTCAAATTGGGTTATTTTCTTCTGCAGCGTGCGCTCTCAAAATTCTTGCGCTCCCCGTACCACGGGGTTTACACCGAAAATTATTTATACAACTAATAACCTTTATATACTGTGATTTGTCAGATCTGGATATTTTTTTTCTCCTATCAATTTGAGACCTCTAATGTGTATATTTCTTATTATTTTTGATAAACAAAATTCTAAAAATACGTAATGCGAGCTTTCTTTATAGGACAATCTGTATAGATTTTAACGTTTTGCTTCACATTTAAATACCCTCAAAAGATATTCAATTAAAGTTTTAAATTCATATTTTTCAGTTAATGATGAAGAAAAAACTTATAATCAAATTAAAATAGTTCATAAAGATAATTTCAGTTTGGTCGGCTTTTTATAAAACATTTGTTGTCTTCTACACTGAAGGTTACTTAATACACAGAAAAAGTAAATAAATTTACACACCATAACACCGATCTCAAGCTCCTAAACATACATAACATTTAAAAGGTTATTAATAAAGCTCGTATTTTCTGATGAAACATCGATTCCCGATACAGCATTGCTGTTACACAGATAAATCATTTCATTTCCATCTTGATAAATATATTAGAATAAAAACATTTCTCTAATATCTTTACCCTAAGTTCATATAGGATAAATATATGAAATTTATAGACATATCTATACGCTTTGATAAAATTCTTCTCTTTGCTAAGATGAATCGATTCATATGTATCATCTTGAAAGACGTACACACCAATCTGGTAATTAAATCATCATGATCATGTTAAGAACTTCAAGATAGCGTGAAAACGAAATAATAATGATTTTAGAATAATCATCATGGTCAAGATGAAAAAGGACAAATGGAAAATGAAACAGCAACTTAACTGACGGTTTCAGTTTAATTAAAAGATTTGTTTGGGACAACATGTTCGGGACAACTACAAACTATAATATATATATCCGTCTTGATTCATGGATTTCACGAAATAATGAGCAGACAATAAAACATTCTGTGGGATATGATGATCCCATGTAATGGTAAGCACCATCTTGAACTACAGCTTTGAGCCTCAGTAATCTTCGACAATGAATCTTCTTAAAGGCAACTCTTCCAATGGAATCTCATGCGTGCTGATTTCCACAGAGAATTCAAATGCCATCCTCCTTGTTGAGATTTTTCTCATGTTTGCGGAGTAGTGTTGTTGTTGTTGCTGTTGCTGCTGCTTTCTGGAGGTGTTACTAGGAATCTCCACAATCGTAGTTCATAGGCGATTTCCTCATCTCGATCATTTGCATGATGCCATTCTCTTGTGGTACTTCCATGGCGGCCGGGACATAAGTAGTACCTGGGATGCATTTGGAGCACTGGCGTCTCAGCGCTGGGCGTTGTCGGGAGGCTCGGCACTTGACGGCGAAACGAAGTTCCTCCGCCATCTCTGCACATAGGGACTGCTGTAAACGATATATCAGGGACAAGCATTATAGTTTTTGTTAAATAACTCTTTATAAATAATTATTGCTTTATATAAATATATTCATTGTAATAATAAGAAATTCACTAGCATTTATAATTATAAATCACTATTTCTTTCATAATTTCTGTATAAATAAAGAAATAAAACTGTATATGGAATGATCTTGATTCAAAGTAGAAGATTCAATCGGGTCAATAATTCTTAATGAAAATTTCATTTATTCGAGTTTCTTTATGTTTGTGATTTTCTGATATTTTTTATTAAATAATTAAATACTTCACAATTATTATATTAGAAGTTTTATAATTTTATTTTTTTTTTGTGTTTACTAAACATTTCAACCATAATATTCGACTTAAACTAAGAATGTTTTATAAGGAAACGTCATGTTTTATAATGAAATGTATAGCACAATATTTTATAATGCCTTGTTTTATAATCACGTCATTTACACATTTCACGTGCTTCATAATCACGTCAACACGTCATTTGATGATTAGCAAAGCGATTGTTTGAAATTTTGCGGCCCATATTAATGAAAAAATCTTTAATATTTTTAAATCTGTCTGATAATTCTTAGGCGTATTGCAAATCGCTTATATGCCTGTAAAATAGTTAGGAAATGTTCGAAGTGTTATTTAATAGTGCTAGTTTTACTTAATCATATGACAGTAAACCTTTAACTAATTAATGAACAGTAAGCCTTCAGACGTTTTAGAAAACTGTTCGAAAAAAATCACGGTAATTTAAAATAAATTTTTTTCATCACCTAAAAGTATGTAGGCTCAACGCAAAAGGAATAAAATATCAGGCCGATAAGAAAATACTGGAAATTTTCAATCAGTTTGAAGCGTTATAAAATAGTAGCGGCTGTTTGCAAATGGCTATATTATTTGATTAGCCAACAGCATGTAACTGAACTTAGTGTGTTTTGTGAGGAAAAACAAACCTCTTCCCAAATTATTCACAAAAAAGATAAAAGTGTACATAGAATATCTCTATGTATTGCTTTAAAATGAGTTTACAAATTACAAAGCTATTTAAATGCTGTTACCTATTATACTATTCACACTAAATTATTGCATTATTATGAAGTTATGGTATACTTGTAACAATATTATTAAATGCCTTAAGATACATGAAAGCTTTATTTTATTTTTGAATCACATAATTTGATTTTTATTTAGCAATGATTTAAACTTGATTGCACTGATATTCTTATCATAGCATAATTAGCTCTAGAATTTCAGTTAAAAATAAAACATATGTTTTAAAAGTAATTAAAAGCGTAATTTATTCTTTTAAAATTAGTCGGCGAAAAAAGTATTTGTAACGCTTTATATTTATTTTTTTATAAACTTCTCCCTCTTTTTATTACATGCGTGTTTTGAACTTCAACCATATCAGTTAAATTGTCGAGCAGCAATATAGGATGACATGCTTTATATAAAAACTAAAATATACTAAATGTAATTAAACATGTTGAAAAGATTGTAATAAAACTGCATTAGAATGTGCTAATTTTGTAAATATGACGTAAGAAGCGCATGCATTATAGTTCTTGTATTTGAAAACCATTGCGAACGAATTCATAAAAAAACAAATAATTGAATTAAAGCGATTTATAAAAACTTTGATGACAAAAACGATCTAAATTTGTTAATGAAAAGCAAAATTAGAAAAATTAGAGAGGTAACATCATGAGCAAATTTAGCCATCAGTATTTCTTTCGTGAATATCTTTTTTATTTTTAATTTCTTTTCTAAAATTTTTGATTGATGTAGTATTTGATCGATTTGTTGCACAGTTCTTCTCAAATTCTGGGATAAAAACAGGATTTAAATTAAAATAACTTAACTTAAATGATATACTAAATATGCATACATTATTTGCATGCCAAAGTGCTTAACATTTTCTTCTTTATCTTTTCCCGCTATATCTTCTTCATTTTTCTTATTTTTTTATTCTTTCTTTATTCTATTATATCTTATAGTTTTAAATAAATTATGTCATAGTAAATATATGTTAATAGTTTCTTATCTCTGAAGTGGTCTACCAAAATTAGACTAAATTTACAGGTCCATAAATTTCCGAAGAGTCTGAGAAGATAGAGCTGATTCTTTGAAAAAAAAAATTTTCAAGTAAAAATTGAGCCATTGAACATAGAAACAGAAATTTCTTGAGAAGCTTTACACTAGGTACTGTTCTTAAGAAAGTTATTAATTCATAAGGGATTCTTCTAGTATTAACTCTGAAGTGGTCGACCGAAATTCGAATAAATAAGTAAGTTCATACATTTTTATATATGTAAGCACATAATTCAAAGTGTCTTTGGTATCTAGAGTTTACGCCTTTTAAAGGGATTATTCAGTAAAAGTTTAGAAAAAAATGAAGTATCAGCGTTCAGCTAGCTAAATCGTAATTCCTTAAACATACATAATTAAATTCATCCCAGATTAACTAATTAAATCAAAAATCCTGATATATAGAGTAGTCCCTAAGTGAAGGGATGTATTTCAAGCTCCAGTCACTTTATAGTTATTTCAATATTTTTATGTTATATTTTAATTAAAAAAAGCTTACAGAGATTTTTAATTTTAAAAAAAAATTTAATGAATTTTTATTTGTCTCTGAACATTTAAAGTATCTCAATCAAAACCAGTGTCAATCAGTTTCTGAGTCATTTTGAGTCACTGAACGATTGTTTAAAAATTCATCCTATAGATTGTTTTGGCTTATTTTTAGAGCCGTTCTTTCAGTTATATTTACAAAACAATACATATCCTATTCACATTTTTGTTTCAGAATTTTTTATTAATTTTCTTAACCGTTACGCTATTGATATTTCATGTTATCAATGAAAAAAATCATTTTCAGGTCTATACATATGTCTTTATTATCATTATTATTTAGTGCACCAGTATATTAAATTGTTCACTGTTATATTTGGATTTTTACTTTTCGTAAAGTATTATTATTGGCAAATATCTTTTTGGATATGATAAAAGATGATTTCTAGAACTAATGCTCTAATAAAATGGCTTTAAATTATCTAGTTACATGCCTACTAACGCTACTAAGCCTCAATTAGCGAACCTTTCATGCCAAGCAAATATTTTCTTTATTTTCCCGGTATCAGGCTCAATATTAGCGGAAGTCATGCCTTAAAAAATGTGGTAACGTAATGATTAAGAAAGCAAAATAACCATGCAACACATGCGTATTTGAAATTTTAGTCAAATAAAACAAGGTAAAACTTTAATAACAAAATGTATATCTATGAACTCGGTAGAATAACCGTGCATCTTTACCTGTAGGTAACCGCGATTGAATCCGTCGTTGTACTTCTGAAAATTAAAATTACTTTGTAAAAAAAACGCCGTGCTTTTGACACGAATACATTATAATTTATTTGGTTAAAATAATTCCAATTTAAACACTTTTAATACGAATAAAGTAATTTAGTAAAAAGTAAATTTCTTTTACTTGAACGGCAATGTATTTTAACTCCATTCATACACGTATGCTAAAAAACAGTTAAGTTCCACATTTTTTTAATGGAATCAGTTTGCAAGGGGAAAACAACTAATTATTTGTGTTTAATAATTCTAATTAGTATAACTTCTATATTAAAAAAATAGTTAACGTTAAAATAATATCATTTTACATTAAAGTCTTACATTATTTATTTAATAAGTTCTAAGGTTAAAAAAAATAATAATAACTGAAAAAAACAGTTTTTCGGTTAAAAATTATTAGGTTTCTAAAAATTATTTATTAAAAAGGTTTTTTTTTAAATAAGTATTTAATCTATATTTTCGTACGCAATTCGTCTTAATAATTAGAGCATAAAGGAGTATGCTTATCTTGTTTAAAGGTGTTTAAGTCGCATTTTAAACTGTAGGCAAAGAAGTAATTCCGGTTTTTTAGAAATAACACTGAATTTGCTCCATTTCAAAACTTTAATCTATTAATTATCATCCATTCTGCTGCTGATTGGATGTATGGTGGTCAGAGAGCTGACCTCATGTCAAAAAGGTCCCTGTTTCGAGTCCCAGACAAGGCATAGATGTTCTTTCCTTCGCTTCTCTGAACTATCTGCCCTTTTCATTGTGGGAGCAATGTTCTATCGAACATGGTGCCCCTGAATGAATGGTCAAAATACTTGCCCGTCTGATACCAAAGTGATGAATGTACCAAGCGCGGTTTGAGGTTTCTGTTATAACTGAAATTTTTACCTTTCAAAATAATCTTCGGAATAAGTGATAATCCCGTAGTACATATAAGGTCGGGACTACATGGGAGTTGCGAAATCTTATACCAAACTAATTATCTCGTACCTGTTGCTAAAGATAGGTCACATTGTTGTATTGGAAGATGGTTCCTTTGCGACTTGCGATCTCAGTACGACATTGCAACGTCAGATTATCATTTATTTCGAAGTTCAGAAATTTTTTTAAGTGATAAATATTGCGTAATTTCGATTATTTAAAATCGCACTTAGTTGAGATAGTTTCTCATAATGTCCCGGAAATGTATGAGTGCAAGATTATGACTTTACTAGAAAAGTCACATGAAGTCTTTGAAAAGATTGGAAGATATTTGACTTTTGAAATGTTATTTCTTATATCAAAAAACTTGGACTTTATTTCACATTAAAAAACTGGAAAATTTTTCTTGCCAAACAATAATTATCTAAACTTCTTTTAAATGTGAATATTTACGCCTGTTTTTTTGTTTGTTTTAAAAATACCAAATCCATTTTTTATTCAAGTAACATAAAAATTTCTATTCACAAAACATAAAAAATACTAAATCAAGAAATGTTTTATTTGCGATATGTTTTAAAATCATATTCTTTGTTCAAACTGCGCTCATGTTTGCAACCTATTGTTTAAATTTTAGTGTGTAATGAAAAATCTCGAGTAAATTTTATTTTTTTCATTATATATTTAGAATTGTGTTAGAGGTTTTCTAAGTAATTTGAGATCATAGTTATAATGCTAAAAATTATTTCATTATCAAATATTTTGTTTGATTTTGATTTTGTTATTGATTTTGTTTTTAACTCAGTATGAAATCTCTATATTAAATTTTCGAGTGGAGAATAAAGCTTTGTAACTGCAAATATTTATTAGGCGTATAACTGATAGTAACTGATATTTTCTAAATATCTTAATGTCATTATTATTTATAACTATCTTGCAATTGAGTATGCTTATAATTGCATAAATACAAGAAGTAAAGTTACACACTTCAGTTATACTTTGAATAAAAAAAAACTGATACTGACAAGTATAGATAAACTACGGGTATAATTTTAATCTATAAAATTTGATACTGACGCTCGAGTAACGCTGCAGGTATATTTAAAACTTATACATGTGAGCTAGCTGCAGTTTATTTTTTCTTGACAAAATCTGATACTGAAATTGAAAAAAATCTTAAAATTAATACCTAAAAATAAATTATATTAAATAATTTGTTCAGGAATGTTTCTTACTTACAAAACTTATCAATGAATAACTCGTTTTAAAATTCTTTATTTTCGTATTTTATGCGTTTCTTTTTAAAATGAAGAAGGATAAAATTATTTTGTGAAAATGAACTTCTAATCTTGTAAAAAGAGTAAAGTTTTCGGAAAAATATTATTTTATAAATAAATTAACAATTCACAAACACTAAAGTCAGGACTTAAAATATACACTGGTAATAAACGAATAACCTTTATCTTTAAAATCAAATGGTGTTTGTTGCGCTTATAAGTGTTATAATGAATTCACAATTTTTAAAATATAATCTGGATCTGCTTAGAATTATTGAAGAATTATTGAGAATTATTGAATTAATATATGTTTTATTTTATATTCCTTAGAAAATCTTACGAACATAATTGAAAACATTTATAAGAACTGTGTGCGATATCTATTAGTTATTAATTATAAAAGAATTTTTTTTCAAAACTGGAATAAAATTGGCTATATTTATCACTCGAAAATCAAAACAACAATTCAAAAGCAGTTTTCATTCAAATTTAATTATTCATATAGCAAATACAAACACTAAAAAGATATAAATGTTTCAGATTTCGTACACTATGTAATGACAATCATGCATGTTTTTACTTAGGAAAGAAACGTAAATGATTTTTTGTTAATAAAATTCAAATCTTTTTAAGGGTTATTACTTTTTCTTATTTGTTAATTTTATCCATTATATTTTCATGAAAAATTTATTAATATTTTAAAATCAGCAACATTTAATCAAGTGGAGCCTGTCATCGTAATAGTTTATTTTTCTATTTTTCTTTTGTCATCCATTTGAGAAAAATAATGTATGAAATTATTACTATTTTATCAACAGTTATCTTGTTAGAAAATACTGTTCACCTGGTACATAATGTTTCAAGTAATTATTTACCATTGTCTTAAATCACTAAAAATTAATAGCTGTTATTATCTTTTTATTTTGTAATATAAAGAATTCAAAATGTGGGCTTTTTTTTCTGCAAAAAGTTTATTTTAAATAAAGAAAAAAAGAAATTTTTTCTTACTAATAATTGTTGTTTAAGTAAAAAAGCATTGTTTTCTATGCGTAGAGTTTAAGGTTTAAAGATATGTTTTATTATATTCGAGTAATCCTAGATGCACTTAGAAACTTACTTTAAAAAATTATTGTCGATAAACTTTAAGTAAACTCACTTAACTTTTTTACGTAAATAATAAGGTTTCTGTAAAATTGTATGGATAAAATGTCCAACAAAATTATTTAAAAGAGTTGGAGTTACGTATTACAGTGAAACCTGCCAAGTTGACCACCCTTGTAAGTTGGGCACCTGCATAAGTTGAGCTCAATTATCAAGAACGGAATTTTTTCTATATAATATAAAGAAGCAAAACCTTTGTAGCTTGACCACCTGCCTATCCTGCATGTTGACCACTGAAATAAGTCAATTTTGTCTAGGAGTATTATGAAATTCTATTCTAAAACCCTTATAAGTTGATCAGAAAAAAAAAAATTCAGTAAATTTTCTGTCATTTTTGCAATGTATGTTAAAATTTCACTTGTTTGGTGAAATAGTGTAAAAAGCTAATCTAAACCCTTTTATGAGTTGACCCTCAGGGGAAACTGTAAGGGGTCAGCTTTTGACCATTTCTTTCATCCGTTCATTGAAAACAGGTGTGTTAGTTAAAAAGTTGCTCTTCTAGTTGCAATAGTGAGCATTTGAATAAGTGAATGCTCTGAAATATGCTTTGATCCTTTATTTATGGTCTTTGATCTTTAAGTGTAGTAAATAAATTTTAAAGTGTTCAAATAATTTTATTTTGTTAAAGTTTTCAAATTACATGTTTTCGTGTTCTGATATTTTAAGAAATTATATTTATTAAACACTTCACATGCATAACTAACGAAATAATTTTTTAAAAAAAAATTGTTAAATATAAGAATTATATGTATCAAATTGAAGTTCATTCAGGTTTAAACACATTTCTTAAGATATTCATTTGCATATTTTCTGAATAAAATTTTTAAGTCAAGTAAAAATAAAAAAATTAAATACATATCAACATGATATAGGAAACGAAAAAGTAAACAATGACCCACCCCCTCTATAAGTTGACCACTTGTCTAAGTTGACCACTAAAACGATGCACCACAAGTGGTCAACTTACACAAGTTTTACTGTATATAATTTTGTACGCAAAACAAATGTTTTAACGTATCGTTAAATAAAAAATTGAAATTACAACTATAGAATGCTAAATTCTAACTTATTATAATCAAATATTGTATCACACTATTAAATACAGTCGAACTCGCTTATGATGAGAACAAAGTGACAGATGCAAATCACTCGTAAAATAGGAATAATTTTTATAATCGTGGTTCAGCAGCTGACTCAATTTTGAGTTTACGACTATTTCGTAGTCTTGTAATTTTGAACGTAGTCCCGAAGACAAGGGAACTCTTGGATCAAGTATTGAGGGAAAATTGCCCACATAACCTACATTTGCATTGCATGGAGAGGAAAACCACAAAAACATCCTATGGTTAACCCGGTGTCTAAGGCACTCTAATATATAACCGGTCAACCACTTAAGATATTTTACGCGGGCACTGTTGTCGGCACGAGCCCGGTGCGATAATCGTATCGACCAGCTATTGCTGGAATTCAGTACCTCATTGGGAGGTGAACGCTCGAGCCACCACGTCTCAATTAGGATGAATTAGAATCTCTTTATACGGTTCGTTTCTTTTATTCATGCTTTTTTTATAGCCTGATAAATTTTTTAATATTCTTAGACTTTATAACGACTACTAATTTTCAACGCAATTTTGAGCCCAATCCAGAATACAAAGGAACTCCTGGACCAAGTATAGGTAGAAATTTGCCTTCAGACTTTTTTGATGGAACTACTCGGCATTTGTGTGACATGGAGAGGAAAACCACGAAAACTACACACTGACAGCAAGGGGATTATAATACATGATTCGTCAACCACTGAGGACATTTTACGTCAGCACTGCTGTCGGTTCAAGCCGGATGCGGAATTCGCATCAGTCAGCCTTCACTGGGATTCGAACCCGGTTCACCTCATTGGAAGGCAAACGGTCGATCCCCGGGCTAAAAAAATACTGTCCCGGGTGATAACTAGTAATGTAATATAATTAAAAAAGTGCTACAACAATAAGCCGGTTGGAATACATTAAACTATTATAAAATAATTGAACTAGGAACTGTAGACATAACCAATTTTAACTAAAGGCTCTTTTCATCTAACCATTTTTTAATGTTTTCGGCATTAACTAGAATTTCCCCATTGAATACTTAATAGTATTTAAGACTGTGTATTGCATTAATTTTGAAACGAATTTAAGAGAATGCTCTACAGCGGAATAAAAGCTTTATTTAGTTTTAAATACTTAAGTAATATATAATTAAACGAAATAAAAAAGTGCCAAATAAACCATGAAGTTTTAAATGAGGAAAAATTTTCAAACTACCGAAATGCAAACAAATTATGGCAGGATTACTCTGGATTACGCAGTAGCAAAGTAATCCTGCTGTAATTTGTTTGCATTTTGGTATTAAAAAAAACATACAGTATTTGATACTTTATGGTTTGGTTCTGATTAATCTAATCTTCCTTAAATTTCCAATGGAGGTGTAGCAGATTTTGTCATGATAAGTTCTTCTTACTTTATAGCTTCTTAGAAATCTTTTAAACACACAAACTCAGAAAACCCAAGTCATTTATAAATTTCTAGTTTGATTTTTTTTAAAAAGAAAATTAACTACCCATTGGGGGGAAAATAAGCACTGCATTGAGCACAAAACAATCATTTTTAAGTTCTAAGGCCTTGTATACGTTTTCTTTGATCTTTTTCAAAAGATTGCTGTCAGATTTTTGATTACTGAAAGTTTGACTGAATTTTCGCTTTATTTTTAATAACGTCGAATCTATTGAACAATTTAAATAGACTTTCTGTAAATGTTAATATTCTTTAATGTGTGGTCAATTAAAATTTTTTCTTCGACGAAAAGATCGCTGTGTTCTCTTCTCATCAAAAACGTGAGACTATAAAATGAATGTCACACTGAAAACGATGAAACGATTTGGACATACTCTTCACAAACTTTTGAGAAACACATCCTAACATATATGGACCATCAAATTATCTCTTGAATGATTTACATCGCAACAAACACCCTTACTAATAGTGATTACCAAACATACGCACATCAACCACTACCTTATTCTTGACTCATTCGGTTTCCTGATTCATGGCAAGAAACATGAGAGATCTCATATTTTTCCCAATTATTACTCATCTGAAATCAATTTATGAATAATTTGAACTGAATGAAAGTTTAGCAACTTTTTTGAAAGAAGTAAAATTAAAAAAAATAATCGAAACAGTCTGACGAACTTTTACTGTAAACTTCAATACAACAAAATAATTTTCAATAAGCTCATGAAAATTTCTCTTGAAATCCAATTGATACCCTTCACAACAGTGTTTTGCATATGTTTTTTAAACAATAAACCAATCAATTTGTAAAAATTTCTTTGTTAAATCAGAGCTCGCAATAACCAAATTCGACTGTATAAGGTTTTTCGTACTATGAGGTTTTGTACTTAAGGTGTAAACGTACTGATGGGGTGAATATCTTGAAAACTATTCAAGAATTCGAACTAAAAGTGTCACTTTAGCATTTGAAACGAAAAACAACAGAAAGTTAGGAAATATAAAATCGTGCATACCTACCCTCGCGGATTGAGCACTCTTCTTCGAATTCCAGCAAAACTCCGCCACAGCAGTAAGTATAGCTACTGCTAAACCACACATGAGCACGACAAAGACACCACCGATATTGTCCACTCCTAGTGCGTTTGCTTTACCGTCTTTATTTTTATCATCTCTAGAACACGTGATGCCCGGACTCTTCCACCACTTGTTATAGAGCATTTGGATGACCCCTTTTTCTTGAAGATCAAGGATTGCCAGGGAAATTTTATCGCGCCACGGGGAACCTGAAAACAAGAATGCTTATTATATTAAGAGATTGACATTGTAGTATAGCATGTAATTCACCACTTGCACTGGATGGACGTGCAACACTCGTCGAAATGCTTTAGACGAAACTTATCAACAGTGTACTGTACACGTCAGCAGGTAATTATCAATGAAATATAAAATATATTTGTGATTCGTATCAGAAAAACGAAAAAGATTGTTCTGATTTCTACCAGGTATGTAACACCTAACTTCTCGTAATGAATTGCTTTTAGCCGTTTTGTTAAACGTATCAGTAGTTTTATTGCCAGCGCTAGGGTTAAAAATAAATACATTATCTATCCCTTAAAAATTTCAAGGGGTTTTTGAGGTAGTTTTGAGGTGTCAAGGTTGATTTAAGATTTATTTGATTTTGACTTCAAAAACAACCCTTCAATGTCAACATCTCAAGGTTTATAATCAAGGTAAATAAAGTTGTCTCATTCACACTTGATGTTGTTATGAGGTAGTCGAAAATCTACTTTGGAGCAACCAGCTTAGAGAGGTTATTTTTGAGGTTTAGAGTCTATTTTTTTCCTACACTTCAAGCGAATAAGTATATTTGAGGTGTGAATAATTTCACCCAATCTCAACTAAAAGTATTGCTGAGATATACATGAGGATAATTTTTCGAGGTGTAAATGAGGTTGAAATTGAGGTTTATTAATGAGGTTATTTTCGGTGCAAACCACAACAAATATTTCAACCTCGGTTACATTTTTTTACATCTGTTAACCACAAAACACCATACTTTTTTTGTAAGGGATGTGACTAATGGGATATCTTCACTTAATCTCTAGTGTAGAGGCATCTGGTTTCAAACATAGAAGTTAGAGAATAACACAAAGATAAGATCTCGCATTGATAGCATCTGATATAGCTGACTGTTGTAGAAATATAATGATGTTTGGAAATATTCCTATTAGGCAGAAATGGGCTTAAACTCGTGTTAACGTTGCATCATATTGACTGAATATCATATGATTCTGTGTTTTTTAAATTGATTTCTGGGTAATGAAAAGTACCACCTTCACAAAAACTTATGAAGACAGGATTGTTTTTGGACAAAGATCCAATGTCCAAAAATCTTGCATAGACAATGTATAACGTGTGAAATATATTGCATTCCTTGTAACTCGTTTGAGTAGAACTTCACGTAAGCGATTTTGTGTATTTATATTATTGAGTAAAAATGCATAATATTGAGTACAAGTGATATGTTATCCGTTATGAATTTTAATTAAATTGTGTTTAATAATAAATATTATTCCTCCTGCCTTTTTTTATGCAAGATTTTTCCGTAATCTTTCACTTTATTAATATTTAATTATTTTTCCCTATAATTAAGGTTTTTTAATATTCTTAAAATTATTTTGCTTGAAATTAAAGGTGAGAAAATTATTGTTATTAATAGTAACGTTGATGTTTTGAATTTTATTGATAAAAATGTGGTTTTATTACTAATGAGATTATTTAAGAGATTTTATACCAGTATACCTCATGCTCAAATATTTGAAATTTGTAGTGGCATATATGATAAATATTTATTTAATGAAGATATTGATAAGTCTTATTGGACAGATATTTGTACTTGAAAATGCTCGTTTAATGACTTTGATTTTTATAAACAAAATATAGGGATTCCACAAGGTAATTCTTTTTCTGGTGCTTTTGCTAATATTTTTTTGCATTTTTTTCGAAGCCAAATATCTTGAGTTTAATTGTTTTAAAGCTTTAAGATACATTGAAGATTTAATTTTATTTAATTATGATAATTATGATTTTATTTTTAATATTTATCCTAAAGATTTGGTTTCGAAGAAGTCTAATGATAATTTCTTAAATGTTGAATATGTAGATTTTAAAATTGATATTGTTAATAAATAAATTAAAATTGGTGTTTAAGATAAAAGGCTTTTAAGTTTATGGTTATTTTTTCCGTAATTTTGATACTAATTTGTGCAGTAAAAGTTAGAAAAAGTAGATAAAGAGGCAACAAGTAATTTTTTAAAAAAATTGGAAAATAATGGTTTTTCTTTTAATTTCTGTAATATTGAATTTAAAATTGAAAAGAAAAAGATTAACAATTCTTAACTTCGTTTTCTTTTAATAGGGCAAGATCAAGTCTTTGGCCGAATTGCTCCGGTTAAGCATTTTTACTAATAATGGAAACGGCTTTCTTGCTACTTTTCTTTTCTTTTTTCTTCCTTCTGCGCATTAAATTAATGGGAGTTGTTTTTTTGTTAATTTCAATTTAGTTGAGGCTTTGTAGTCTGTTGTGTTCTTTGGTTTTGGGATTTATTATTTTCAAGTAAATTTTTGAACATTATATTCTTTTGTATTGTTTCGGTATTATAGTTTTGTATTTGGTTTTTGTAATTTGTATTATATTTTCTCTCTACCTGAACTTTGACAAGTCCTTTGAGGTACAGAGAGAACAACTTAAGTATTTGTCGAGCTCTCTCGAGAGGAATGGTTTTGCATTTATGACTTCCGGGGCTGGTACCCCCGGTCAGCTTCAGTTGTCAAATTTTTCATTGTTTTTCTTTATTTATTCTTTTGGTTTCAATTTCCTTTCTGAATTTCGGCTGCATAGAGCGTTTTTCCACTTGATGTGTAGTTTCTAATTGCTATAATAATTTCGATTTCTTTTCTTATTATGACCACCAGTCAAGTAAAATACATTACCAAATACTTGAAGTAAATTTTCTGAAGCAGCTTTTAACATGCGTTGAAGTCCTTGACATGCATCCACAATTACAGAGAAAGATGTTTTTAATGATTGATTTCAAAATGATTGTGTTCAAAAGGGGGAATGGAATGAAACATAAAGATTTTTGTCTCATTATGCCTGCTTTAATTAAAAATTTAAATACTTAATAAATATTTTTCAACATTAATGTAAGATAATAATAAATTATATTCCGTGATACAAGAATAAAATTTATATTAATTGACGAAAGGAAGCAGGACAAAAAATAAAGAGTCGTTGTTCCCGTAGTGGGAGCTTTGGCACCTACTGTGTTAATGGGAATGATAGAACTAGAAATGTTTGAATCGATGTTAACCGGATCGAATGTTATCATCTTTCAATAAAAATATGTTTTCCTCGTTTTTATCTCAAATTAGATTCATTGCTTTGATTTTCTTTTTTGGACTATTTAAATACTCCAACTCTTTACCATTAAGTTTCCGCGATATCTTCTTAAATTATGAGAAAATTCATTTATAATTTCATAGTTATAATTTAAGTGTGTAACAAAAATTATCACATATAATAATTTTGATGGAATTAGTGCTCTATTGTACAATTAAGACTTTGAATATTTTTATAGTTAACTTGAACTCTTTGATTCTTATGTTTAAAACTTGAGATAAACTTACCCATGGGTGTAGCGATGCCGTATCCTTTAGAGTCCAACAGACCCCCGACTTGGGTCAAGTTGCAGTCCCTTTGAACCATATAATCTAGCATTGTAGATTCCATTAAGAACGCGTAGTTACCCTCCAGCACTCGTTGCACCCCTTCCTCGTAAGAGCTCACGAACACTCCGGGCCTACTCTCCATGAATCTCCACATTTTTAGATATGTTTCAATTTTTGAATCCTGAAAGTAATAACAACGAAGAAGCGCTTTTAATTAATGTACAATCAAGCTTACGTTTTTAATTGATATATAATCACAGCTTAAACATAATTTTAACTATGCAAACTACGCCAAATAATTAATTAATCAAAAAGAAAGGAATCTAATATTAACTGTAAGAAAATTAATTCTTCGGGGTTAAATTTCAAAATTATGAAAAAAAGAAAAAAAAAGTTAATTTAATTAAATATATGTATTTACCTTAATATAAAGCAACTAATTACAATACACATAAAATATTACTAAATAAATATAAAATTGAATACTCATAACACTATTAGATTTCGCTTGACTGCCACACTGTCATAAATCTCGCCCTACTTACTAAGGTATAGTTCGTTCACCAAGAGTTGGCACTTGGCTCCACCTCCTCAGACGGAGAGTTCGTTTCAGCGCGGAAGTAAAAGGAGAAGCGTCTCCGCACTTGAAATTGAGACTACCCTTAATGCTTGCCAAACGCAAACGAATTATTTTTCAATCACTTCCTTCGCTTTATCATCTGCTAGTATGCCTTTCGTTGCTCTAGCAAATTAAATATATTGCAGCAAAATGTCTCAAAAAGGACAAACTTTTCACTCAAATGAGAGAAATATCATCAAATTTATGAAATATTTAGAGTTAAAAAATGTACATTAAGATTGCTAAATAAATATTTTTGTTATACGATCGCCAAATAGCAACTATGTTTAGGATTGTTCACATCCTTCTGCCAAAAATAGTGAAATAATATTGTCGGATACCACGTGATGAAGCAAAGTTTCCAACTCCTGGTGAACGAACTATACGCATACGTTGACCTGCATGTTCTTGAGTGCATTATTTTTTAATATTATAATAATATAGATTTAGAAGCTTCATACAAATCGCAGAACTACTAAGCTAAAAGAAAAATAATTATTTTTAGAATCAATAAATTATATAATATTTAAAATTAGTTAAAGTTTTGAGCACGAGGAATTAGCATCTTTTTTTCGAAACTTACTTCTGTTTTTGTGAAATTCTACCCAAATAAAATTATTGTGCTGCATCTATTTGTGGAAATAGATGCAGAAGGCTTAAATATCCACGAATATTTCAGTAAAGGTAAAACTGTAAATTTTCTTATATCGTGTTTTTAGAAGCTAAAAAGCAGAGGTTCACAAATGTGGTTCGAGGTAATGGTAATGAAAAAAAAAAAAAAAAAAAAAAAAAANAAAAAAAAAAAAAAAAAAAAAAAAAAAAAAAAAAAAAAAAAAAAAAAAAAAAAGAACTCACCCTAAAGAACGTCATAGTGGAACCGCCTTCCAGCGTGCCGTATGAAATCTTGCTCTGCTCCGCCAGATCTTCGACGCTTTCTATTGGCGTTATCATGCGCTCTACGGTAAGGAAGGCAGCTAAATTAGCCGTATATGATGATATCATAATTAGAGTAAAGAACCACCAGATGGCGCCTATGATACGCGTCGATGTCGCTTTAGGATTCAAGTCGCAACCCTGGTGCATCAGGGTTACAATTGTAAACCAGAAACTGAAAGAGAAAGTTTTGAGAACTGGTTACATGTTTGTATCTTGGAAGAATCACACATTTCAAATTTATTTGAAACTCTTTTCATATTAAATAAACTTTATATCAAAAAAAAAAAATGTAAGGGCTGCCGCGAACACTGCTTCCGGTGTTCATTTTAACGTTGACCTTTTTTTTTGTGCCCCAAAAAACAATAGAACTTAGAAACTTGAAATAAAAAATATATATGATATTCGATAATTAGTTGAAAAATTATTAACCGTTAATCTTAATTAAAAAAACACCGTACGGGCCGAACTACAGGTCGCAGAAATGTAACTATAGAATTGAAATTTGGCATGTTGAAAGGACCACATTTGTTAATGAATTTAACACAGAATTTCGCTTTTTTAAATTTCCAATTTATTCGAAAGTTAATGTAATGGAGAGTTAATGTCCTTCTCTTTTAAGCGCCTTTTCGCGAATTTTTTTTCTCACTTTTTTTGTTGCCTTTAGGTTAAATTTTACTTTGCTGCTCAAAATCTATAGACTTATAAACTTAAAATTACTAAAGTGTATATTAAAATATGCAAGGAGGTCAACGGATTGAAAAAATTACAATTCGAATGTTAGTTCAAGAATTATTAACTGTTAAGTTTGATATGACATTAATAAAAAGAACGTATATCTTCTGAAATGCAACTACAGAGCTGAAATTTGACGTGCTGATAAGACTATTTTATATTATAATTTTAACGAAAGCTTTTTTTTTTAATTCTTATTTGTTCGAAAATTATTACAAATTTAAGTTCTTTTTCGAGATGTCTTCAGTTTTTTTTTTTAAAAAAAATTAAATACTCATTCCTTGTTGTAGAAAATTTAAATTAAAAAAAAGTTACTTAATTTTTTCGTCATTTGTTTTACTCATTTTGATGTTAAAAGTTTTTAATTAATGAAATTTAATAAGCATATTAAATACAACAATTCAGATGTAAACGAATGTATTATTACTATTATTCATTGCACCATTTAGTATAACAATATCATGATGAAACAACTGAGTTTTTTAAACATATAGTTTCAGTAGAAATTTTGAAGAAAATTTTATTTATTTCAAAATGTAAATATTTTCCTGACAAAATTCGAAAAAAAATTAAAAAAATATTTTGAAAAATAAACTTGTTTGGAAAGTGATAAAAAATTTACGAAGTAAATAAATAAAAATAAGAAGGAAAGAAAATAAAAAAATGCAAAACATTTTTCATGTAAAAAAATAAACTTTTCGATTGTAACAAAACATTCTTACAGAATCTTGCATTTCGAATTTTTGCAGAGACTTGGCATTCTGCTGGGATTAAAATTTACAACCCAAACCTTGAAAGTTGTAAAAGTGTCGGGATTCTGTAATAAATTCACGTGCCTTTTTCGCAACAAAAATGATTAACTATTGATTTTTTTGAGACAGGGAATAAAAAATATAATTGAGTAAAACTCTAATTCACAATACATTAAATTAGTTTAGAAATTTTTTAAATGGTGAAATTGTTGTAAATTATGGTTTTTAATCACATAAATGAATTTCTTCTTTCTGAAACACTATTTGCATTTATTCTTTTAAACTAGGAGGCTTCGCCCCCTGCTCGCTGGCGCATTTGGCGATATCACACTTATAGAATAGAAGGATTTGTTACTTCAAGCTCTCAGGTATCTTAATTTTGATCTAGTAGCGCTTCTATGTCATTTTGATTTATGTTGCTAAGTTAACTTCCAAAAATTCTATGGCTGGCAACAGCATTTTTATTTTTTAAGTTGTTTATTTTTATTTCTTCTAGAATTCGTTCTTTTTTTAGCAAAATGTTTTTTAACCTAACAGAATTCTCTGCCGACTGTTATCTCTGTAAATGAAGAAAATAAAGTAAATATTTAAGTGTTGTGAAAAGAATCTTATTTAGTTGTACAAAATACTTCATTAAAAATGAAAACTGTTGCCACCGGCGGAAAAGAAATACAGCCAAAATTTGGGAGTTACGTAAGAGAATTATATATATTAGATAATAATTAAAATAATACAGAAATACAAAAAAAATTTGTATAATAATCGCTTTTTTTCTTCTTCTTTCCGTGCAATCCTTTGCCACACACAATTCTGTTATAAAATTTAAAAAAAAAAACTTGAAAATGAATATAATTTGAGAAAATACCATACTGCTAATGAAATTTAATATTCACGATCGCAACAAACTATAGGGGGCGTTGCTGTATGAAACGCATACCTGCGATTTCTATATGAACCGTCATTCAGTTACTCTGGAGACGTCGTTAATGTAGCGTGTAGCATTGCAACGTTCCTTCTTTAATGTGGCTTATTAAATTTAAAAAAGAAAAATGCTTGATCTTCTTTCTTGTACAACCGAAAACAAAATGGTATCTCTTTTTATTAGAGAAGGAATATCCAAAACACATCGGAAAAATATTTGTACATTAACAGAAAAAAATATGTATATTCTTATAAGAGTTAAAACCTAATGCCCGAGAAATAGTATTACTAAATTTAATGATATAACATGAAAGGCCCATTTAAACTTTACATTCTATAGTTTTAAGAATCATATTAGTTCAAAAATTAAAATGAACAAAAAGTATACATAAGCCTCATAATTTTATGAAATTTAATTTTGTAAACAACGTTTTTTGACAACAATTTTTATCAAAAAATTTCAAGTTTCAATAAAAATCATTATTTAGAAACTAAGAAACGTAAAATAAAGAATGCTGACGAAACAAAAACAAAAAAAAAAAACAATTCTTTTTTGTCGCCATTTTTAGTGCTACGAATATTCGTCTTTGGGATTTGCCAAAAACAAAACAAGATGCAATTTTATTTTTTCAGGAGGGAAATATTTTACCGAAAAAACGAAAATGTACCAATTCCCACAACATAAAACTTTATCTTGGTAAACGTACGTTTTGGAAATGTTATTTCATTTGGAATCTTATTTATCAGAGTTCATATGGCGATATGATTGTTTTGAATCTATGCTAAACTCTATATCGGCTCATTTTCCACCGAAATCCGATTAACTATTTTGATTTTAAATAAAGTGTTTTATTTTATGAATTGTCGCAAAAATTTTAAGTGTAGATTGGCGGCACTTAAAAACCGCCAAATCTGTAGCGGCGGTGGCGTTAATACGTAAGTACCGAATTTTTATTCCATACTTTTCTGAATCATATTACTTCAAACATTGGAATATACAAGAAGTATACATAAACACATAATGTTATACCATTTAATTTTTCAAAAAAAGTATTTTGAGAACAATTTTTATCAAAAAATTATAAACTAAAAAACGGAAAATAAAGAATTCTTAGGATAAAAAAAAGATTTTAAGAATTCTTTACATTGAAATAAAAACTTTCATATTGTTTCTTTTTTTATTATTCTTATAGTTCTTAATCAGACGTAAAAAACCATTCTGTAGAGAACCATCATCAAATGAAAAAAAAATATTTACAAGCAAATTTTTTATTGTAAAAATCATTGCACTTACCTGATTTATGATTCCCGGAGAATTCCAAAATGATAAGTTCCTTGTTTGAAAACTTTATTCTCAAATAATAGATACATAGTTTATACCTTCATTACTTTTAGATAACATACTACACAGCAAAATTTTATAATTGATATGAATTTGAATATGTAGCTAAAAACAGAATAGCTGAATTCTAGTTGAACTTATTCTTTCAAAATTAAAAAAAACTTACCAAGAAAACGATTTAAATTAATTAAGAATCAGCACAAATGGCACTATTTCAAGTAACTTGGATAATTTTTTATTGTTGTTTTCCGAATTATATGGATACAGAAATATATACTATTCTATAACGAAGAAGAATATGCTATAACTATTACAATTCTGTATGTTCTGAATTCATATTTATTCACTGGAATGACGAAAGCAATGTTGACTTCACTTTAATTCGTAATGAATTGAAGACAGAAGAAATGCATTTTACCTTAATACACACATCTGTAACAGTATCCGAAATCGGAAGTCATCAGTTGCAAGTTTGTTGATAATAGAAATTAAAAATTATTGAGGAATTTTTCTTCAAATGTTTGGCGTGTTCTGTTCCTGAAAGATTTACTAATATTCTGGAGATTTTTTTCAAGTTCTTCGGCCTTTTCCTTAGGGAAATTTTGTTTCTTATTTGCTGCTAAAAAATGGCGTCTGATTCAGTCAATGACTTTGATGGAACTAAATGAAAACGTGATAAATTAATGTCCGATATTTACAGGCTCCCGCTAGACGGCGTACTCGAGCGTTGCGATCGCGAATACTATTTAATTGCGTAGATTCAACACTATCATCAACATCCTTTCAACATTGTAGTAAATAAATTTTGTCTAAAGCGCTTTAAATTTTAATGGCAATAGTACAGTTTTATGTCGTTTCAATTATATAAGTAACTACGGTTAGGAAGAAGTAATAAAGCAAAGCAGCTCACCCACTTAAAAACGTTTAAATATGTGCATAAGCAATCATTCAAATTATTAATTAAAAAGATTTCACGTAGAAATGCTTAATTTATTTGGTTTCTAAGCGTTGTTTTATTGTGGCGTTGTGGATTAAAGCAGTTTTATTAAAAAAAACATGCCATAGCTGTAAATCATATTTTTATTCGATTTAGATAAGTTATCTGGATGTAGAAACTCTAATACTTCACAGATCAGTAGGTGCTAAGACTGTATACAAAACGATAGATGAGTTGATTTCCGGTTAGCAAATCATGTTAAGAATTTCGATTTAAAACTGCAGTTTCTAGAAACACATCAATGAAATAAACAGAACTGATCATAAATATATTAATTTAAGAAAAAACCACTTACCTATTCCCAAGGCTGAATTGGTTTTCCATGACGTCACATTCCGTAACGCAAGGATGAGGATTTTGCCACTCATATGGACTAAACCTTGCAACGATGAACATCGTACCACTGACCAGGACATAAGCAGCCAGCACGTAAAGCCAGATGTCCACTGCAAGGGGGCTCATGAAGGAAAAAAGTCTCACTGGCATATTTTTTGGCAATTTGAACAGGATTCCGATGCCAAGATTCATGAATGGTTTTGTGAAATCGATGACACTTTCCCTGGCATAGTTTATGGTCATTGGTGCGACAGCTAGATCAGCGTTCTTTCAAAAACAAAATGAGAGATAAATTAGCTTGCAAATAAAGGATTCAATTTTTCTGATAATTATTAAAGATTCTGTTCTACGTATATTAATGTAAAATAACAAATAATGCTACACTTTTTATTAGGTATGATAAAATCTTTAGATAAGAACAAGCTGCTGGTGATATTTACATACTTTTTGATCTCTGTTGCCAGATTATTTTAACTTGGCAAATCATTTATTACGGTTACGTTTACAGTTAATTAAAATATTTTAACAAGGTATTGCGATTTAAATTAGGAAAGGATATTAATTGAATCACATATAGAAAATTTGAAAGATTTAAAATAGCGGATTATTAAAAACACTGGCTCATTCGCCGTTTCGAGAGAGTATAAAGAAATCTGAAATCTTTATCATAAACTTGAATTATTAATTTGTTAAAGAGCTATAAAATTTTTAATGGCTCCCAACATATAAGAAAAAAACATACTTTTAAGTAATCGTCGCCACTTAAACTCTCGCAAATACGATTCGCGTCAATAATAGTTTGTCTTTTTTTACAGTCCACGAAACGAAGTAAGGTCGAAATATTTGTGCTAGTATTAGGGCATAGGGGAAAGAATAAGGTGCACATTAATGGAATTGTAAATTGTTTGAGTAGTGCATTTACTTCTCCATTTAGTGAACTGTTCAGATCACTTTTTAATTCGTTATAAGCTAAAATAAGGCATGAACTTGATAAGTATTATAATCATAAAAGTTTATTATAATATATAAAAAAAAATTGGTAATTAAGTTCCGCCTCTTGATTTTTATTAATCTATAAATTAATTTGCGTAATCCCTATTTCACCTATCCATTTAACTGCTGATGCACAAATGCTAAACTTTCCTAATTTAGATATTCGTTAATATATCGATATGTTGATTTATTGATGAACTTTTAATTCATTGTTCCTTTTTTTCATTTATTTCTTTATATAATATAAGAAGAGAGTGAAATGATAAAAATAGTCAATCACAGAACACTTGCAGTCAGCAGGGCACAAAACAGCCAATTAATATTGAGAACACATGTGTAATAATTTTAGAACGCATCGGTAATAATTTTTACTTATCCAGTTTTTCCTTATTCATTTCAATATTGTTTTGCTTGTCATCAGCATCAAATTAATAAAAGTCGGAAAGGTATTGTTTCCCTTTAAATATATTTGTATCCCTAATTTTAAGTTATTTTCCAGTACTGCTATTATTAGCGAAAATATTAAATTATGGTTGTGAACTCATCAAATTTGTTTGAACAATATATTGTTATAAGAATATAAATGTTATTTTAAAAAATGATTACTTCAAAAAATAACTTTTGTTCACCAAGAGATCTAAATGTTTATAATACTAATAGATAGTAATATTTGGAAGTGAGAAGTAGAGGCTCAAGCGTAAGCACACAGAATTCCTTTTAGGAAATATATGTTAAGTGATTAATTTTAACTTTAGTAGAAAAACTGTTTTCTGCCAAGAAAAGACAATAATTGCGAAGCAATCATCGGGGCTGATGAGTGGCAGCGAACAGGGGGCTTAGCCCCCTAGTTTTATAATAAGAAACATTTATAGTAACGGTTGCCATGGTGATGAGCTATTATTAAAAGAAATGGCTCATGATTACTTAAAATTACTATTAAATAACGATAGTTATATTTTCTCGCCATTTTTTTTACTCAAGTTTAAAGGTAAAGGTACTAATAAAATATAGGCGTGATTGTGGAATAATAAGGAGAATTCTCAGATTTACTGATTATTCCAGTCGTAAGATTTGCAGTAACTGTGATGAGCATCTTCAAGCGCGTTTGAGCCAGTGTTAGAGAAGTACGTGCAGTTACTTAATAACTTATGTACAAGAACGTACTGGATGATAAGTAAAAGTGCAAAATTCCTCGAATAAAAACGAATTAACACAAAGTGAAAACGAGTTTAATAAAATACTAATATAAACCAGCAAGTTGACACAAATCGATTAAATCGCAAATAACAAAAACATAAATTGTAGGACGTTTTCTGTTTCTTTGGTTTTACTTCAATTGATTATAAAAAGAAATTCTGGAAGTTTTTCAACTTCTTAGATTTACGTTTCATTCATGTTTCATAAATTTAATTCATTTCATTCTAAAGAAAATTCAGTTAGCAAATTAAAAAAAAATTCTACCCAAGATTTAATGCAATATATATTACGAAGTACTTTTCATAAATTCATCTTTAGCTTTTACTTATTTTAAGTGTTTTGTCTGTGATTCGATTAATAAGAAGCTTAGATTATCTGAAACAAATATAAATATTCATAGGCATTAATTAATGTAATGAAAGATATTTATTTATTTATTATTATTTTTTAAACTTAGTACTTTTAAATTTTTTCAACTTTAAATCTTATTTTTTTGGTAAACAGAACACTGAATATCATTTAAATAATTAGAGAGCTCGTGTATGTTTATGTAAATGAAGCTCTCTGTTTCTTTCTTTTCATATCATTTCAAGCGTTTGCTGTTTTAAAAAGAGCATTGTCAAGTATATATTTTGATCAATGGAATACCAATGAAGCATATATAATGGGCTTCCTGATTCGTTAATAATCAATGAATTTATTTGGTTTATCAATGAAATTATTTCAGCGTTGTGCCAAGTTTCTTGAAAACGTAGTTGGAATTTTTAATGGGCTTTTGAACAACGAATAATAATTTCCAACGAGTTTAGAAATAAGCATATATATATGCCAAAACTATGCATAATATGAGGGAAATAAAAGCAATTCATAATATTGTTTTATTAAGAGGGATAAGGCAATATTACAGCCGGTTTACCATTAATGTAAATCTCATTACGAAGAATGAAATAAAGGTCGTGAAACTGATAATAAAATATACAAACTGTTTATAAAAACGATAAATTTTTTATATTGAAATAGTTTAAATAGTACATAAGTTTCAATGCTACATCAGTAAAACATTTCAGTTTACAGCTAAATGTAAATAATAAGCGATGGAAAACATGAAAACATTTAATGCTTAGTAAAGCTTTTTGTGTTTACTTTTTTTCCTTGTGCACAGAAAAATGATGCAACATTATAGCATCGTAACATGTATGCTATTCATAAATATTTTAAGGGTTCATGTAGCTACAATGCTAAAAAGCACTGAGATCTTATTACAAAAGAACATAGTTCTATCTTCGTTGACAGTTTAAAGCGCACTCATCTTCTAATTTAAGAGATGCCAGTTTTCTTAGAAAGTGAAGCATCCTGGTTCACACTGGGCATAATATAACCGGCATCATGTCATGAAACTGGTGGACCTTAGAGGTTCTCGGAGGAAACTGGAGGACCTTGACCGACACATTTGCTGTTGCGACGGAACCTTGCAAATCATTTGATTTTTTAACGTAAGGTTAGTCTTTTAGTAATATAATAGCAAATACTGAAATCTTCTTCTCGTGATTTTATGCGTTGTAGATAAGTAGATTGTTGTAAGTCCACAATTTACGTTTAGGTACAGATCCAGTTTAATTAGATTGAAGAAATGGAGTTTTATTTCAGTAAGGAGCATTATAAATAAAACTCCTGACAAAGTAACTTTTTCCGTAACTTTAGTTAAAAAAATAAGTTAAAAGAAGAAAAATGATGCTTATTAACTTAATGAATGTAGTAAAATTAAGCATCAAAAAATTTTTTTCTTTAAAATACTGGTACATGTTACTTTTACCCATTAAGATTTGTTTTTATACTTTCCATAGCCGTGAGCCCGATGCAGCAGCCCTCCGGCACGGCAACGGGAGCTGCAAATTAACACAGCGCTTGCAAATTGTTTTCCAACTCATATACATATATATATTTAAGTAAAGAAAAAATTGCCAGCTGAAAAAGCCGAGGAGAATTAAAAATTAAAAAAGAAATAAAAAATGAAATGCTTTTTTAATAATAAAAAATGAGGAATAGTTTTTCTTCTTTTTCGAAATTTGATGCCGAAAAAAAGACAATGTTCATTTTTCTCGTTATTGTTTTATTTATCTGAAAAGCACCTGAGATATTATGGTAATGACTTTGTTCTGAAGAAACTTTTAATAGGCGCAAAACAGAGTACCGTCAAAAACAATTCTATTAATTTCTACCTAAGAAATGAAGCATTTATATTTCTATATTGTCTTTCCAAGTATAAGTCAATTTTTTTAAAATATATATTTCTTTCCTTCGCATTCCTTAAATGAGTTCAGTATAAGCATCTGTTTCTTCTCCTTTTAAACGAAGCTAAAGTATTGTTTATAAAAATCAAAAAAAAATGTAAACAAATTAAGTATTTTGTGATATTAATTTTATAACATTTAATCTTTGAAAGTGCGTTATGTGTTAAATTAAGCTTAAATTTTGCAATATTTTCTGCCTGACTGCGTTTAAGTCAACAGATAGTGCTTCATACTGACTCTATAAATATTGTTTCTGTAACCATGAATCGAACAAACTTATTTAATGGCTCAATTTATTTTTTAATTTGAGTCCATTTTAAATTTGTCTGAAATTGCAGCAATATGTGATTTTACAGCTTTACACTGTTTATATAAGGCAATTTATAAATTATATATGTATATATAATTTATAAATTGTAATTTTTTTGACTGTTGTCAAAATGACTGCTAGTTCTAGGTACAAAGGCACACAATTCGTATTATCAGTACTTTATGAAATACCTTTTCAATTATTTCTTTGACCAAACCACTCCATTCACCGGAAGTGGTGTTTTCTGCACCAAACTTGTTATCAGGCACCAAGTACAACTCGTAGTTGAAACCAAGCAATTCCGCAATCGTCCGCAGGAGGTCAATACAGAAGCCTTCGAAACGGTCATTTCCAGTTAAATTGCGGTCACTTTTTAGCATCACATAGGGTGTAGACTAATGGGAAAGGTCAAGCATGGAGGAGAGCACAATGAAAGAAGAAAATAAATCTAATAAGAAAGCTTACCTAAAGATTCTAGAAGCAAAAGTAACAGGATTGCAGTATTTTGGAAATACAGGGTGTCCCTCGAATCGCACAAGATTTGATTTTTAAAAAGAACAAATTTTTACTTAAAAATTGTAAATTTTCTAGATTTACAAAATTTATATTGATATAGAATGCCCTATGCATAATAGGACTATGTATAATAGGACAGATGGCCTCCGCATTTTTGCTGGCTGAACTGCACTTTTTTGATGATATTTTAATGACCATTTGATATAAATCTAACTGAATTTTGCTGATACAGTGCTCGATTCTTCTCATTACGTGGGTGTATATAGGATTGTCGTTTTAAGTGTTAGATTTGTCAAAAAAGCTTAAAGCAATCAGTCTAATCCAAAAGAAGGATAAGGTTAACTTTTAGATGAGTGGATTAAAGCAAAAAACTACGTCAATCAAGCACAAATAAAAGTTCATCAATGGACATTTTACAGTTTCGGTTTTGCATACACGAACCTTTCTCAGTTACTAATCACCAACAAATCTGTTAATGCGTTTTTAGTGTGGTGCATCGTTTTCAATAAATCTAAACTGTCAGCCGTTTCATTCTCCATGTGGACGAAACTATATGGAGCAATGACGCTAATTTCAAATCTTGTTTGAATTTCGGGACACCCTCTAAAATTATTAATAGTTAGAACATTTTACAACGCAGGATTTTTAGTGAGGGATATCAAGCTTTTTAAGCATTTAAATGTGATGCAATTTTAGATCTTTGCATCAAACAAATTGCCTATGGTAAAGTCTAATGGAATTATTCAGAGACTAATATCTTCTACTATTGAGCAGATCCTGATTGTTGAAGTTTTTTTTATAAATTTTATTGTATTGGTTTTGTATTATTTCCATTCTTTTACTAACCTTTACCAATAATTCCCTCACCATGCCGTTCCAATCTCCATTCGACGTGTCTACAGCTCCATATTTTCTATCTGGGACTAGTTCGATAGCATAATCAAACTGGAGCCGATCAGCAATGGCATGGAGGAGGTCTATACAAAATCCGTGAAAACGTTCGTTACCTTTCAAGCTCGTATTTTCTTTCACCATCACGTAAGGATCAGCCTGCGTATGTAAAGAGTTCTTACTAAAATAAATTTTAGCTAATTCAAATGCAATAAATGGCATATTTAGTTTTGTACCTCAGTCAGATAATTTTAAGTGAATTTTACAGTCAAATTTGTCATTAATTGACAGAAATGTTTCCCAAGATATGATCTGAGCCGATGATTCATTAGACTAAGGAAATAACTATCTTCCCTTTTTTGGGGAAACATATTTTGCTAAATACAGTAGGCTTAATGCAACATATCGGTGAAGTGTTTGAGAGTTCGCTTTTTATTAAACATACGTAACTTCGAGATAAAATGACTGTTTTTAATAACAAAATAAACCTCGAGGATTTCTGAATCATTAAAAATGAGAGTTTTATTTCGGAGAGTAAATGCAGTTAAAACTAGAGGTAAAATTTTTAAAATACTTGACAGTGCAAACTGAAAAGATAGTAGAATGAGTATGCATTCATTACTTTTAGCTATTTCCAAACTTATAACTCGTAGAAATAATAAAAGCACTATCTTGATCCGACAGTTTTTATTAAATTTGCGAGTCTAAATTACTGAGTGTTTTATTTATTTTTAAGCAATTTTGAGTGCTGCAATAAAATAAAATTGAAAAAAAAAATTACGAAAATTTACAAAACATACTAGAATTTCAACCTTCCTGTCGTAAGAAAAAATCTATTATACTTTAAAAGACATTTCCTCGTGAGATAACGGAAAGTGATCAGCAACAGTTACAGTGACTGACCGTAAAAATTAATTTATACCCAAAAATCTAACGTTACAATAAAAATACAGGTCTGTCTGCAAATGTTTCTTCGCAAAATCTATGGTCACTGACCGTAAGTTAAAGTTACGCTCGTAAAAGTAATGTTCAGTTCAAGCCTTGGCGTTGTGTGAGACTCAAGTGATTTGTTTGACGACTCAAATCGAACCGTCGAACGATGTAAAAAAGTATAATGCAGCCATCTACCAAGGAGTTAAAATTTGGGCATGTTCGTTGTCACAAATGTGGAGAGGGTACTTTGGTTACGGTTGTGATCAATTTAGAGACCTGCGTGCCCATTGCCTCATGAGCTAAAAAGGTGTGCACCAACAAGTTAAGTTTATTTTCCATAATAACCATATAAATAAACTGTTAACTCTACTGAACAAACGGTCAATTTAATTGGTTTTGCTGAAGTTCCTTACGTTTATGGATATTGGAATTTTTTTCTGAAACAAGTGATCTGCCCGCATAAATTAATAGCCAACTTCTCAAATTTAGCTAAAATTTCTTATAGAATAACATTAGTAAATTTTACTGTAGAACCTTAGAACATTAGTAAATTGTACTGTAAATTTATGAGAGAAAAATTTATATTTTTTAAAAGGAATTTATAAATAGCAAATCTTGCAGCTGAAGGAATTTGTTATTGTAAATAAAACTTGTTCGGTAGTTGTTAAAAAATGTCATTTATGATAGAAAATATTTCTCAAAATGAATATATAATTTATTAATAAATGAAATTATATTTTTTGCTTTTAGTGAGAAACAAAAGAATCCTGCAAGAAATAATTTCTATAACAATAATTCAAACATGAAGGAAGAGCTAATAAATTTGTTAATGCAAATTTCTAGAGTAGAATAAATTTGAGTAAAATATTCAACTTTACCCGTTTGAAAGAAATACTTCTTGACGAATTTAAGATATTTACATTAGAATCTTTCTTTACACCTAACATGGAAAATCCATTTCAAGGTGCTATTTTTTACAATTTAGACGACGCTAATGCATTTCTGATGAGCAACTCTATCAGATTAATGTTAGAATTAGATGCTTCATGAAGGGTTCTTAAAATAATAATTACAGTTTGTTTAATGGGGGATGCATCTCATTTAGTAATGCCATTATTTTAAATAATTGAATAAACTGAAATAACTAACTAAAACAAAACAATGTATTTATTTATATATTTTTAGAAAGCAAATACTATCATTAAGGCATTTTACTAAAAATAAGCATTTTTCAAAATAATATTTTGCATAAAAAAATTAGTAAATTGAGATCTCATATTTCTTTAGCTTCTACCGTTTGCTCATGAAACATTTGCTAGCAATGAATTCTTTTTTATGCGAATATTTCAAATTTTATTTAAAAATTCAATGTATTTAAATATTTCCTATGTTAAGCCATAAAAATATAATTGATAAAAAAATTATCAAAAAATATTAACTAAATTGTTTAAATTTCCCATCATGTCCGACTTTCATCAAAATAAATAAATAAATTGCAACATCTTAGAGTATTTTTGTTTCTTTTTTTGTAACATTTTCTTTTCTTTCTTCCTTGAAACACAATCTTTAAATTAATTTTGCTTCTTAGGATTATTATGCATCAAAAAGACGCTAAAATGAAAAACAATGAAAAAAAATTTCAATTCTCTACCGTTATATTTGGTTCTTTTTTGAAAACTTCTATAGTCTGCTCTAAAATAAATCAGTATTCTGAGAAAACACTTTCCAAAAATTAATTTCTGTTATGTAAGTAAATATTTTTTATTGAAATTTCGCAATCAAGAAATAAGTTTTAAGCTTGGTATTATATTAAAGTTGCTTTTTCCCCCCAAGCTTCTTTTTTTTTGTCTTATTTCCTAAGAAAATATGTTCTATACTTCCTGTTGTAAGTAAATTTTTTTCTTCATTTATTATTTTTTAGCTTCATTTTAAGAGATATGTTTATCACAATCGCTTTTTTACAATGCATAATATAACATCAAAAAAAAAATCCATACAAAATGCTTTTATTTCTAATCTCTTTTCATGAAAAAATTGTCATTATTATTCGTAATTATTTTTTACTTATTTTTAAAATAGTTCAACGAAATATTTATGAGGAAAAAATTTCATGATGTAAAAGTCAATGAGTTTTCTATTCAGTACAGTTAATGGATCTTCTATTTCTTTAGACGTATCTCACAGTTATTTTGTCTTATATTTTGCGGAAGTTTCTTGCATTTCTTATTTATAAAAAGTTTTAATAATCAAAACCGGAATTCAAGAATTTTAAGTTATGATAAACTACCGTGTTAAAAATTATTTTAGATTGCCTCTCAAAATGAATGTCACCATTTATTTAGGGTTGATTAGAGTTTTTAAAATATAATTTAAAAAATTATGGTAAAAATTACGGTAATGTGGTATGGCAACTAAACAAAAATTTAGAATTATGTTAATAATAAAAATTAAGAATACATTTTTCATTAAAACTCGAAAATTTGCAAAAATTGAGTTTAAATTCATTTCTGTTCTGTAAAATTAACAAAAAGAACTCACAAATTTTGTCTGTATTATTGCTTAAAAGCTAAAGAACACGCATATTTTTGTGGAAAAATCAATTCATAGGGAAATAAATCAGGCTACATTTTATAAGAAAATGCATGAAAACATAACAACAACAACAAAAAATGTAATGTAATGAATTGACGATTATGATTTAATGAGTATTAGAGCAATATATTCCGAAGATGAATAAAAAAAATGGAGAAAGAGTTTAGTAAAGGATATTACTGTTCCTGACGTCAAATTCGGTTGAACAATTAACTTTCATACGGTTTAGGTAGATGTTTGAAAGATATTCCAACTATAAATACCTTGAGCATTCCAATCATGATTTATGGTATTCAGGATTGGAGAACTGGCTGACCACTATAACCTCTAAACATCTTCAGATTTAAAATATATTTAGACTAGATCAGTTTTCTATGGATGCGAGTTATTACGGAGTATCACACACATTTCTTCTCTTTCAAACAAAACCATCAACGCATGTTGGTTTTCTAACATGGGGTGATGGTCAATATTGATGGTGTTATCAGAAATTATGATGAAATATAAGTTGGAAACCAACAAAATATGTTGGTTCCTGAGAAATTTTTTTGTTGGACCATCAAAAATTGCCAACAAACCATGTTGGTTCTTGATGCATTTTTTTCTTGGATCATTGAAAAATACCATCAAAATATGTTGGTAACTGATAATTTCTTTTGGTTGGACTATCAAAATATACCTTCAAGCCATGTTATGAATTTGAATTGAAATGACGTCAAGAAAAATTTTATAAATATATGTGGTGATTAAAATTAAATAGGAATTATTTTTAAATCAAACGCAATTCTTTATGTTTAATAGAAAATAATGCTTAGTAGATGCTGTCGTTCAACTCGAATCTGATTTAATTTTCATGGATGGGTAAAGAGAGTCACAAATAATGCAGGAAGTTTAAATGTTTTGCCTTTTTTTGTAATTAGATCAGATAAACTTACTTCTATAGTAGTAACTCGAAGTGTAATATTTGTGGTCCCAAATTCATGGAATGCATCGTGATTCGTTACATTCAAGCCATTTGCTGTTGACCATTCACCTACCTGAAAATAAAAAATATATCTGCGTTGCAATTTTGGGAAACAATAAAAATGCATTCTCATATTTTTTTAATTACTTTACTAGATAACTTTAAAAGTAAACAATAAATTAACATTGCTACCTTTATTAAATAATAAATAAAATTTCGTAACTTTGTCTCTTCATTGAATCGTAAACAGAAAATGTGATTTATTTTTTTTTAAATTTCGCACATGTTTTTTTTTGCTTTAATTTTATTTTATGAGATAAATTAAAAACGGGCAATCAATGGAACTATCGAATCAGGGCCAGAAATTTCAGCTTTGTAACTCTGCTTGGCTTCAAGAAAAACTTCATTTAAGAAAATCAACCTGCATTTGAGTTGCAATCAGGGGAAAATAACAAAGGTATTCCACGGTAAAATCAATGGTAAATGGGCAAATAAGTAAGTCGAAGAAGAGTTTTGAATTTGAGTCGGAAACAGTCTCTGTATTTAAGTTCGCTCTCAAAAATGTACAGTATTAAAGTTAACAGCAATTTGATTTATCATTGAATCAGTACGTTACATATTTATTTAGAAACGCCTATCCAATTTATTTTTCTGCATTGTTATTACAAAGCAACTTATTTTAATTCTGCTTTTGGTGTTCTAAATAATCTGACAATATGACATCAATGTTTAGGTCTTTTGATCTTCTGAAATAATATAAAACTCCTGAATTATAAGTCTATCAATCTTTCGGAAGATTTTGTTCTTTAAGTCAATATGAATTCTTTATGGTCATTAGTTTCTGACTCTTCTTTATAAAATATGAGTAAACTGTGCTTAAAATGTGTAGTCAAAACTACCAAATCATGGTAAACGTTAGTGCTCTATTGGAACATCAGAAAGCTTGGTAATATTTATCAAAGCGCTTTGGTAATGAATTCGGTAAAGGTTGTTGACGTATACCTGTTTAGGCAGTGGGGTTGCGATTGTTCTTGTTTCCCAGCGGCGCCATCTATGGCCAAGAATTTTAGGTAAAGGTAACTGTAAAATATAGTTTTATGATATGCGATAAAGTTTGGCAAGTGTGCTTAAACTTAGCAACTTTATCATCATAACTTAGCGAATGGTATGAAATCCATTTATTTGGTCAAACTTACTCCTCAGTTTGAAATTTTTACTAAGTGTGTGTAAATAAGAAGAACAATTTTGAAGTCAGAATTTCCAGTAAAGCTGTACCATATGAACCGAAAAACTACCAAATGAATGTTTTAAATACCTCATATTTTTGTTTTATTAACCGGTATTATGCATTTTTTTTCTCCAGAAATGTTATTGCAACAAAGAGTACGATATTTTTACAAGAATTTTTTCCCCTCTCGTAATTTCTGTTTGATGAATGTGTTACTTTAACTACCTTTAACTTTTTATTATATATAAATAAATATTTTAAATGTACTGTCTTTGTATGAGATTAAAAATTTTCTTAAATAAAAAAACAATAAAAAAACGAGCAAAGCATTTACTTAAAACGCTAAATTCCTCCAAAAATTTAAGGATTTATAATGTGCCATTCATTATTTTTGACATAATTCAACGTTTCTAACCTCAGAGAAAAGTTTAATTAATTTTAAATAAGTTCAACAAAGATAACTTACTTTTTCCATATTGTTTTGTCGTAATTTCAGTAAATCAAGCTTTAAATTGCTACGTCGACCTTCTTTGAATTGAATTTTTCCTGTCAATCCACAAAATTCAACCTAAAAAACAAAATAAAAAAAGAGTAGTTATCATATTTCTAACAATTTGGAATTTTGTAACAAAGAACAAGTTTGAAAAACATAAGGTTAATTTATCAGTTTATTCTTGTAAGCCAAATAATACTTTTTTAAGTTGCTGCGAAGTTAAACCCACCTGTTCTCTCAGTTCCCCTACCCCCGTGGTTGACTCGCAATATTTTTTTAAACTCCATATTTTTGAGAAAATAGTGGTCATTTTGCTTATTAAATACATAAGTACAGGGTGTTCCAAAATTATCTTTACATCACCTGGCTTGAAATTGATCACATACTGGAAGTGCTTAGGGCCACCAATTGTGCGCATGTTGAAGTGTAATAAACAAAACTTTATTAGTTGCAGTAATACATGCAAAAGACAGAATATAAATATCTCGAAGTTATGAATTTTTGAAGTTGTAAAGAGAATTTTGGAACACCCTGTATTATAATTTTATGTAAGAACAGGCTGTTAACATGTCAATTGCAACTAAATAGAACTTGGGCTTGAGAAATAATTAACTATATTAGAAAAATCAACAAATTATGTGACACAATAGGAAGCAATAAAGCGGAAGTAATTTTACTTATTATCAATATGTAACTATAACGACTGCAAAAAAAGAAAACCGAGTGTAAAAAATGATTTCTTCGAGGGGGGTCCGTCTTTTTACGTGAATAGTTTACAGAAAATGCCCTGAGAAATTTAAAAGGCAGCAATGCGTATACCAATGGTCACTTGACTTGTCTCTTATATGAACAGGGGCGGAAGACTCTTATTATTTGCTTAAAGTGAAAAATATTTCAAGCATTGATTTTAAACCTCTCCTGTTGTCTGTTTTATGGAAGTTAAGGGACTTATGGAATTAGTCTAGTGGGTTAGACAATTTGGGTAGTCGAAACATTAACGATGATAACATGATATTGTATAACAGTTCAAATTGGAAACGGCTCTTATCTCTCCTTTATATTTTTTAGCATTCCAATAAAGGTTCAGAATTGTTTCTGGCAACTTCTATTCACTTTTACTTCAATTTTCTTTGCTTTACCTATTTATATTTTTGTAACTTTTGATATAAATTGAAGTTTCTTTCTTTTGAAGTCAATTGTGAGCCTATGAAAGGAAGATATCGAGAGGGATAAATACATTTTTTTACAACAATACTGCAGATGGAGGCCGCTGAACGTTTTTCTGTGTGTGTGTATATATATANATATATATATATATATATATATACAAGTTTATCAGCCCAGGGGATAGAGAGTTAGTCACCCAGCAATGAGGTAACCGAGGTTCGAATCCAGTTGTAGCTACATGATATGAATTCTGATATGAGATATCTTCTAATATGAAATATATTCAGTAGTAATAAGACAAACATGGGTTAAAATCCCCATACATTTGGACTAATCGTGGGAGGCTTTCGTGATGTTTCCTTCCATGTAATTTTCTAGTAAATTTTTTTTTAACCGTAGATACAGTTTTACACTAATCATATTTAACGTGAGGGAACATATTTTTCTACCTGACTTAATAACGTTTTAATAACTTTTTAATCCTTAGCAATATTTAAAATTTTTCAAGCTACTCTCTTGACTTATAAAAATATTTGGTGAAATTATGAAATAGGAAAACTACCTTGTTATGAACAAAGGTTGAGTTAAATTATTAAAACATATACTTAATCGATATTTCTATTAAATATCAAAAAATAAATACAATAATGACATACTTATTCAAGGAAAATGACGAACACTACGTTTGTGTACATTCTGCATTTTGGTATTGATGATAACAGTAAAAACTTAAGTGAGTATCATTGACATATCTTAGAACTTTAATAAATGGTTGAACTAAACAGCATTTCGGTTCAAAAGATTGAACGTTTCAAACTTACGATATTACATTTTTATTTTCAAAGAAAATATAATTTATTTTTGTGCCTGAAAACAGTCACATCAAATATGAATAAATAAGATTCAAGCTACCAATAATATAGCTCAATATTACAATCAAACTTTTACCGAGATTGTACCGAAATGGTTTTTTGTATATTTAAAAAATTCTTTTTATTCTTTATAAATTGATCTCAACTTCATTTTAGTTGTGACAAATTTAATATAAAATTAAACAGAAGGAAATGTTACGTACTGAATTAACATAGTTGAAGAGACTGCTTCCGTCTGTCCAGGGCACTTCTTCTTCACAAGACACATTGGCTGGACGGAGGGTAGCCCCACCCTGCAAGGCATTTAAGCCCCACGCTAGAGCGTACACGGAATCGTAGATAAGGGCTGGCTCGGTCTAAAAGTAAAAAAAAACAACAATATATTGTACTAATATATTGTCTTCTGTACTAATATATTTGTCAATATATTGTCTTCTTTGTAAAATTAAAAAGAATGAACAGTTTCAATTTGTTTCCTGTTTTATCCCAATATAATGACCTTTTCAGCATTTTACACCAGGCCTTTTCAACATTTAAATAGAGTATTCAATACTTTGCTTTTAAAGTAATTTTTTAAGATTTATTTTACAAATTTAATTTCGAATACCATAGATAATAGTAAAAGAATTTAGAAAAAAAAATATGAGCATTTAATGGTAATACATCATGTCAGCTTAATTCCTTTTATCCTAAAGTTATTCTGATGTGTTTTTTTTTTAATTCTTGGAATGCATTAAAAGCTGTTCAGAAAGTGTATAATTTAAGCGGATCTAATCAGTTCAGAAATATTTCGAAGTTTATTGGAGGAAAGAAGAGATTTTTTGAGATTTTTTGATATTTTTCTTATAAAAATATCTTTTTATATTCGTTACATAAAAAAAGAGCAAATTTTGTGCTCTGCGTCTAGTCGATTCTTATAAAGCATGCACTTGCTATAAATAATTTTTTTTCCTAAAGAAATAGACTTGAATTGTATATAGCAGTTGTTCAAAGTAAAACTATTTCAATATGCTAATATAAAAGACGTAAATTATGAATCTTTCTTTATTATATAAGAATTAAACGATCGAAATAAAATACTCTATTAAAAATTTACATATAGGATGTAAAAGCTATTGTTCATTGGTAACAACTTACCTTTATAACATTTGTTCTATTTATAATATGGTGACCTATAGATTGGAATTTTTCCATATCTTTTAGAGTATTCTTCGCACCACAATAATCTGTGTCTATGATTCTAAATGCTGTCATATTCACAAAATTGTATTTAAAATCTTCTAAGTTATAAGTCTCTACATCCTGAAAAATACGGTGAAAAACATACTTATGGTTACTTATGATTGCTTATAGATTTACTTACAATTTGTATTGCATTACATTCTTATTGTATAAAGAACAGTTACATTCTCAATAGTATAGAGAATTATATTACATGTTTATACTATCTATAACAGTTATATAGTTATAGTTATTACATGAAATCATATGAAATGCGTATAGTATGTACAGCAGTACACTTGTAGTTATTTTAGGGGAGCACATTACATGCTTATAGCATGCGTAGCAGTTGCATACTTAATGTTAGTACAAGGAATCCCATAACAAATTAATTGTATATATAGCAGTTTTATGTTTACACTTACTATAGGGAGTGGTATTAATGATTAACAACGATGCAAATAAAACTAAAATTTTACAATAATTTTTAAATAGAGTTGAGTAAAATCAAGAAGTTTTAAACGGAAGTTAATAAAAATAGACAGTTCAGGCATTGAAAGGTTATTTTCAGCACAAATTAAGTGTAAAATGTAAATTAATTTAAGTTTCAAATCCTTCAGAGGAAATAAAGCAAATTGTTAAGTAAAAGAAAAATAATTGGAATAAACTGTCTACCATGAATTGAAAATAATTCTTTTAACAGGTCTTCTATTCTCTTCGTCAGAAAATCGTCTGCTTATAAGAACTGATCACAGTTTAAAAATAAAAAAAAGAGTAAAATAAGATCTGATAATAATACACTTTAACGAGACCAAGACCTTGTAACATTTTATTAGTTTTATGTTAAGTATAACCTTTAAAAATTTCAAGGATTTTAAGTTACACACTTTAAGTTATCGAGAAAGCAAATATTTGTTTTCTAATAAGTGTTTAAAATAGAATATCAAGGCCATTAAGAAGACTTGAAGGAAGAAAAAAAAAGAAAAATCAACCACTTAATCAATTACGAAGATTAAATGAAAGAGTATGAGTGCAATGGAAATACTGATCCGGATACATTAAGAATTTATTTTAAAACAGTTCCTTTTACACTGAAATATTTTTACTATTTCACTTAATATGAAACGAAAATTTTCTAAAAGCTTTTTCTTTACAACTAAATTAATATTTTTTTTTCATTTCAGATAAATTATTTGCATATAGAATACTAAGTACATAATAGAAGTGGAATTGAACTAAAAGTTTTGCATTTAGATTTAAAAATCCTTAAAATAATACATTTATCTCGACATGAATACCAATCTCTAGTATTTACATTTCTTGAATGTTTAGATTGAAAATGACATTGTCTACAAAATGTAATTATAATTGTTTAAAATTCAAGGCATTTGAGTTTAACTGGCAATTTGATATATCTTCGAGATTTAAGGAAAATACAAATTCTATGTAGTTAATTCTTAGGCAAAATTTTTAAGTATAATCTTTTTAAACTCTTTGTTCACTGATATATAATTCAAAATGTATTTTGACATTTGAAATAAATACTACTGTTTTGAATCATTATCGTATATTTTTCATAAAGATTTAAGTTTATGTCAAAAGAAATATATTTTGCGAATACGAACCAAAGAAAGGATGACAATTTAAAAGTTAGCAGATAGTTGCATGAAATTTCATAACTTATAACTACAGAAAGACATGTTTTTCTCATACTAATAGAAAATTTACGTGTGCTTTAGAATTTCTTTTAGGCACGATATTTTAAAGAGTTGGGTGTATTTGCATTCAAATTAGACTCGTGAAAAATTGCATTACTTCAATGCGTAATTTATTTTTTCTTCTTTTTATAGTTAGGCGTGAAACTTGTTTTTTTGTGTATTTAATAGACGTTAATTAAATGATGAACGTTAAATAAATTTATTCTATTTTCATTTTGTATTAAATTTTATTTCTCATGTATTATGAAATATTTCTAAACAAAACAAAAGCACACAAAAAAAAATTATTCACTCACAATATTTGAAAGAAATAATTTTTGAATGTAAACATGATGTTACTGTGTTTAATGAATATAATATTTCGTGAAACATTCTACGATTTCAGAAAAAGTATGGGCTTTGAAGTGTATCCACTATACATTACTATTATAAAAATATAAAATGAAAAAATATATTACATGCGAATACTTTTTAAAAACTAAAATTCTTCAGTGTTTTTTTTTTCAAATAAGTTTTAAACTTTTTTATTTCTATAAACTATAAGAAAAAACGTACTTTAAAAAAATACAGAATTGTGTTGTAGAAAAGACTTAGAAATTTTTATATTGAATTTTGACATTTCTAGATTAATTACTGAGAAAAAAGTACAATTGAAATTATCAGAATATGGTATAACTTACCGTGTTTCTAGCTCTATGAGAGCACTAAAAATCTCGTAAATTTTTCCTACCGAAGTGTTTTAGTAATCATTTTGATAAAATTTACTTTAAAATATTGTTTCATAATATGCAGTAAAAATTAGGTAAATGTGGTAAAATATGCCAATTTTATAATGATATTTTAGAGCACGGTAGTTATTTTGTTAACTTTCAGATTTGTATTTTTTACTAAATGTGAAGATAAGTACATAACGATAAGTTTTGAAAACGGGAATTTCCGGTTAACAATTATCATGTGGACGAAAAATTATTAAATGAATGGTTTAAATACCGTAAATAAATATCGCAATATTATTACCAGAGCTATGGCTTTTTTTTCTTCAAAAAAATCATCAGCATACTGTACGGTATTAAATAAATAATCCCCAGACACTGAAGTGGTAAGATGTTACCTTTTTCAAAGCTTATTTTACTTCAAAAATACATAACTAGGAAATAACACCTGACATGACAGAAGCTCTCAAATAAGGGCGCCTGCTTATGAGCGCTTAAACCTTGGTTGATTGTTAGTTCATAATTATATATTTTTTAAGCGGATAAAGTTTTTAATCACGTAATACTGTATGGTAATTTTACCAGAATTTTTTCCTACATGCTCAAATATTTTCTTGCTCATTTTAAAAATAAATCTGCACTCTTCCATAAGGCATTTAATTTGAGAATGAGCATTAAATACTACATCTAAAGAAGAATTCCCGCAAAAGTCTGCAATGGGTCAGCACGTCATTGAGGTTAAGGCTCCATAATTTCGTGACCAACGGCATAGTTGTGGCATTGTGGACACAGATAGCCTGTACTTCCTAGATTAGCTGGTAACCATCGATCTGAAGCTGGGTGGGCTTGAACTCACCGCAGGGGATCGAACCTCAGTTTTCCACAATGACCACTGAGCCATCCTGATTTAAAGTGCTACATCTATAATAATATAACCTTGTCTATGTGTGTCTCACTTAGAACTTCAGAACAGCTTCTGCTAGCGGCCTGAAATTTGGACAGTGTGTAGGAGAGACAACTTTAGCCCCGTTCCAAGAAAGAGTTCATAAATTTCAATTAAATTGCTCGGGAGAGACGGTTGAAAGTCTAATTCTCTCATTAGTTCTGAACCAGCTTTAGTTTTAAATTAGACTATTGATGATTCCGTGTTATCAAATCATTTAATGATAGCATCAGTATATTTGCTAGCTTATAGCTCATATTAAAGCTCTATCAAAGAAGTTTATTGCATATTTTTTGATCCTTATTTACTTTTTATTTACAATGTCCAAACAGAAATAGACAGAGAGTTTCCACTCTAATACTAGAGCATGTATATAAACAGCGCGTACTTTTTTCGAAGCGGAAAAAAATAGCAACAACCTAGCTCAAACGGAATTTACGTAACGCAATGGAAAATATCTTAACTATAAGTTAGATTGATGCGTTTTTTTCCAGCATTTATTATTATTTTATTATTATTTTTATTTCAATTTATGAAGTTCTTTGTAATTGTTAGGGTATTTGTTTTGTTTTAGAGCCATAATATGCTTAGATATTAATTGTTTAAGAATGTCTGTGTTAATGAAGACAAAAACACCATTAGAAAAATAAATTACGATTTATTTTAAATATTTTAATTTCTCCCCATTTTTCTTGATCTTAAATTAATTTTATGCTGAATAAAATACACATTAGCGTGGATGAAATGCGCCATTAATCCGTCGCTTATAAACTAAAAAAAGAATAAATGCTGGAAAGGTTTAGTGATGCGGATTTTTTCTTTTTGATTCTTATAGAAGAATTTATTATCTGATAGAAGAGAATAAACAATAAAATATGACAAAAACACTATTTACGTATAATAGAAATAAAATCTGGAATAAAACAGATCAGAATTGATCAGAAAATTTTACGTTCCTGCAGTAACACGCCATATTCGAAAAGAATACATAAATCCACAGAATCCTATCAGTATTCAATAATTTTTATTGGAATAAAGAAAGAAAAAAAAAACACTACTTTAAAACTAATCATGCTTGGAGATGTATTTCATTCCTTTATGCTATAAATGTAATCATCGTCCATGAGATAATGGTAGAGAAAAATATGCCAGAGATTCAAGAGTTATAGACTCAGAAAAGTTATAACTGTAGAGAGTCAACTATTCAAATTTTCTCTATCAACATATTGTTTCTTTAAAGCAGTGATTCTCAACCACTGTGCCGCGGCACTTTTGTGTGCCGCCAAATTCTTAAAATGTGCCGCCAAATATTAGAAATGATGCAATAAAAATTATAATGGTTCTTATTTTTTACGAGTAAAGTTTAAATTAAAGAAAAGTGTATATATATATATATATAAGTTCAAAATGAAGAATAAAGCAAAGAAAAATTATAGACATATGAAAAAAAGGGGGGTGGGAAATAATAAGTAAAAAAATAACAANGATTGTCTTGTCTCTGACAATCTTAAAATAAGTTAAAATAAGAAGGAAGTGTTTAAATTGTCTTTGACAATTTTAAAAAATTTTGAAATAAGTAGGAAATTTAATGATTATTAAAATTATTAATTAACAAAGGAAAGCAAGCTAAATATTAACTTTCAAACGGAAATAAAAGCTAATCATTAAAATACACTATGCAATTAATTGTTCTAAAAACAAATTAACAAAGGATAACTAACAAAAAAAATAAGCTAACAATTAATAATCAGCAAAAAAACTAGTTAAAAAGAAATCGCAAAAAATAACAGTTAATATTTAAAGAAAACAAGCTAACAATTAATAACTAGCAAAAAAATAATAACTGTTACTAACTAACTAAAAATTAGTCGATAGAAATAATTGATCCCTTATAAACGTGCTTTTGTAATACATATTATTTTATTTCACATTCAAAATTATTATCTCTAACTATTTAACACAGTGTATTATAGTTAAGTAAACAACTTTTAAACTATTTTTTTTCATTGTGTGCCGTCAAATTTCGAAATGGTTAAAAGTGTGCCGCCCCCCAAAAAAGGTTGAGAATCACTGCTTTAAAGTATTGATAAAAAGAGCAAGGGCACGTTGGCCCAGGGGAAACGTTTAGAAATCATCGTGATGCTGTCAGAGGGGTTCAGTTTTAAGTATTTTAGTTCATGGTTAGATAAAATACACTCAATGACAAAGGTACCAGTTTAGTTATCTCAAAGCTGGTTCTTATTTTATTTTGTTAAAAGTTATGCTTTTAAAATGATGCTTAGAAAATTAAATATTTTAGAATCAAAAACTATTAAAATAAAATAAAAAGTTATGTGAAAAACAATGTAGAAAAGTTACTTATTCACTTAGAGGAACCTTAAAAAATCATCTACATATTATTTACGCCATTAATATTTAATTATCTTTAATAGGTACGAATTGAAATAAAAAAATAAGGTATGTACTAAAAATCAGAATTAATGGTGAATAGATAATAATTCTTTTAGGAGAACAGTAAATTATCGCCTTAATAATTTTGACGTAAATGACGCTTAACTAACTAGGTAATGGAAACTAAATGAAATAAAAAAATATGCACTTGAAAGAAAAATTAATAGAGAAAGAGTACTAATTTGTTTAGGAGAAGCTTAAAAAATCGCTAAAAGTTATTGATGGTTAGTTGAATTGTGTCATAACCACTATTGATACCATGGTAATTAGTGTCTCTTAAATAGATACCAAATAAACTGAAATAGTGGCAATGCATTGTAAAAAATAATTTTGTAACTAATAAAACTCCTCAAGTTGATATTGGGTGTGTTTAAGATTCGTAGTCATATAAACCAAATAGAAGATTTTCGCGTGTCATCGGTTGAGGTACGTTAAAAAACTTCAAGTGTGTGAAGGGCTAATACTTTCAGAGGCTGCTTTCGAGAATTCAGTATCACGTGTATATGTTTTAGTTGAATTTGATCGTTGCATTTAAAGTTATTTCAAAACGGTAAATTTGATGTTGTGGTGAAACATATGGACACTTTTACTGTTCATTATAATCCTATTTCTGTTTAATATATATCAAGAAAGATTACTATCTGATTATTTTATATCACGCCAAAATCTACCGCTATCTAACGCTTAACCACCCTAGCAACCGTTTGTAATTGACATCTTAACAGGAAGTCCAGTGGTTTGACAAACGATGTGGACACACAGGCTAATATGTTTTATTACGTTTTTAAAACAGTACTTAATGACGATCCCTCCCTGATGTCTTCACGACGTTTTGTGGAAGTTTCTACAGGCCAAATGGTCCCATGCAAGCTCTTGCAGCAATTATAAAGAACGGTAGTTGATACAATAAATTTGAATAGTTGACATTCTACAGTATCTAAAGTAGTGTGCTTGACATATTTTAATTTATTTATTTACAGTTGCAGCAAGAATGAATAAAAATTCTTTTTGATTTAATGTTATAAAGTAGAGTTTTAGCGTTTCACTTCGATATAAGTAATTGAATTAGAATTGGAAGACGGGGATTAACGTTAGTGTTTTGAACTCTTTTCTTTCTGTGAATTTATGTAGAAACATGGATTTTTTCTTAACTATTCCAAATATTTGATTTTATATAAAAGTTCTATTATATGTAAAATTTTTTTTCACACTTCCTCTATTTTATTTCCGTCATTTAATAAATTCTACAATAAATAGAGAAATGAAAAGGAATCTGGATTAATAACGCTTTTTTGAATAATTCTTCCTTTAGTTTAAAATAATTAGGATGCTTGTTATCCTATTTAATACGGAGTATATTCAAAATTGAAATAAATATAAAAACAAAAAAATAAACTAATAAAAAAATATGAAATACTTAAAATAAATAATAAATTATTTAACTAAATGAATGTGCGTCTACAAACACATATCATTCTTAAATAAAAAAAAAACATGTAATAATTTTGACGAGCTAAAACAAAGCAAATAACCAAACGATTACAAAGATCTCAATAAATTCATTCAAAAATAAAAGAACTCAAATAACTCTCCTATCTTACTAGTAGTTAAGCTTATTGGCGCAGCGTGGCGCTAAAGGCGTTTTGGTTAGAGTGGCATTAATAATAATAAAATGATAAAAAAGCACGTAGCTTTTTATATATATAGCATTCGAGCGGAAACTTTTTACATATTTTTCTGTGTCTTAAAATGTGCTGCTATAAAAATTAATAATTTAAAATCAACGGCAATTGAACAAAATGTGTTTAAAATCAAAATCAATGAAGATAATGTATATATTTGTTTAGGGGAGAAGTTGGCAATTCCCATATTATTGTTGATGTAAGGCAATTATTAAATAGAAAACAATAGTAGTGCGTTATATGGTGCTTTTTTAATTAGTACTGAAGTACCCATTATAGGTTCTATGGTTATAGACTATTTATGGTCTATTGAAAGGGATATATATCAGTGAAAATTGCTTGATTTCGGTAATTTTTGCCGTTAATGTGTAGCCCAAGAGCAACAGCGTGATTACATATACATTATGAATGCATGATATGCATTATGAATGCATGACATGCATTATGAATGCATGACATGCATTATGAATGCAGATGATCTTTGCTTTGGTGGTTTGAATTTTTAAAATACAATATTAATTATCATTATAATATAACATCACTAAGAAGGGTGATGAATAGAAATAAGTAAATAAAAATTGGAAAAATTAAATATTTGTTAATTGTGACTCATGTTCTTCAGCTCTGTGTCTGCTTTAGTAGAGTGCATCAAACAACTAACAATTGATCATTAACTTTTCACTCCTTATGAATAACGGTATTCAGCTTGACTCAGATAAAAAGCGGGAGATTTTATTTAAAGAAGATCAGCCCATGACTATTCTTAGTGAGCGGTTTTCTAAAGAAATTTTATTTTATTAGGGTAATATCGTGAAAGCAAATTATTTTTTCGTCTTTAACGAAAATGTAGTTTTAATACCAGAAATATTTAAAATACGTAAAAGTACACTTACCAATGTTGTGAAATGGTAATAATACTTATAGTCATTCATTTGCACTTGCAAAATCTGGAATATATTATTAAAGTATAATTTATTAGAGACATTTAGCGTATAATTGCAAAAATGTAAATATAATAAGAAAAATACATAACTTCTGGCTTGGCATATAAGTCACGGGTTATATGCCAAGTTTAATTATCAATTGTAAACATAAAACAAAAATCTATATGTTCGAACTATGATTTAAATGAAGTATAATATGAATGAATACAGATAGAGCTTGTCGTGAAAATCAAATTAATATTTTTGGCTTATAAGAAGACAAGTTAAGAAGATAAATTGCTTAATAGATTGCACAATTGCCATCTATGTTTTCATTTTATCATTATGTGATCTATTTAATAGGTAAAATTAAAAAAAAGTAGAAATTAAAAGGAAAAATCGGCTGTTTTTGATAAGATTAATGCTTTTAATTATATATTCTTTTTCGTAAATGCAGAAATTGGTAGACTGACTTTTGATTCATTGATTGAATGCTTAAAAATTTTAAAGCAATATGATTTTTGTTCTGCAATCGCATCTCAAAATTACCCATATTTAAAACGAAGTCATTTACCATGAATTGGATTTTGTTATCATTTCTAATAAATGTTACTACAAACAAAAGAATTATTTTACTGTTGATAAAAATATATGCTGGATAAAATAATTGTTTCTGTTATTATATAAAAATTTAACAACTATTATAAAATTATGTAATGTGAGCAAACGCTTAGCAAATATGTATGAACAATTTGTGAAAGTATTACGAACAATAATTTTTTTTACTTGGTAAGATCTGTTTAAAATAAGTCAAGAAAAATGCCGTATTATAGATTTTTTTCCTTAAAAGTAAAATATATCGGAATATCATCCAAATTGCATTTAAACTTTTTTCATGACAAATTAAACTACTTACTAAAAATAAACTTGACATTTCCTGAGTTCAAAAAATGTTAAATAACTTTCAGTTTACAACAGTGCATCGTATAAAATATATTTTTAATCAAGTTGTGTCTTTTGAATAGTTTATTCAACAGCAAAAGAAATGCAAACAGAAAACTGGAACAGCATTATCGTTTGTATTATGTTTTGTTTTTCTTCTTTTTCTTAATTTATTTGAAATTCCATGCAGAATGTTGGAAATTAAAGTATCGATTTATACATATGCTAATATTACTAATTTTGAAAGAAAATAAATTCAGGTATTTTACTGACTGATAATAAACTGAATGAAATATTTTAGCAATTAGATTTATGGAATTTTCAGAAACAGAGAAAAGGGGATAGCAGAATTCGAAATTACATCATACATTTTTTTTGTAGTTAAATTCTAAAATTTCAATCAGTATTAATACAAATTTTTCTTATTTAAACTTTATTGATCAATCTTAATTTTAATTTTCTATAACAGACTGAAAACAAAACCGGAATCACACTGCTCTAATACGCCTTTTTTACACTATTAAAATAATTTTAATGCAATCACACTAAATATCAATATCTGGTTTCAGTAAATTCAATATTCTAACGGAAATTAAACTCTGTAACTAGAAATTCGTTACTTAAGTCCTAAGACTTAAAAAGAAATATTTCGTGAATCGCTAAATGTCCGCTGCAACGTTTTGACTTGATGCGTATCCTCCTAGAATTGAATTACTCCTTACCTTTACTAGTCACTCTTCTTGCCTAAGTAGTAAATATGATTAGTTACTTACAGTTCCTTCCCTTCGATGAAAAATTACCATTTATCTAAAAAGACCCAATTTCAGAGGAGTAGGTAGGGTATATATCAATAATAATGAAACTAACTTTTTTCGATGTACCTTTTCTAAGAAAGTACGTAAGATATTGCTTTGACATTTTTTGGGGATATTTGAGATTATATTGGTTGTATACTGTGATAATGTTTCAGTGCCAAGAAATTATAAGTTCTTAGCTTATATTCAAAAAAAGAAATTCAGCAAAGGATATGTTATAACAGTCATCCTAGCGTAAACATGTGTATGTAAATATTCGGTGAAAAAAAAACTGATACAATGTCTTATTTAGATGCCGAGAAGAGGTACGTAGAAAAAGGTAAGTTTCAGCATTACTGGTATATGTCCTACCAACTCTGCTTTAAAAAAATACTGATTTATTGTCCAAATCAATCTACAATGACATTAATCAATTTATATTTGTATAAAAAACATACTGATAGCCATGCTACGAGTTATTTTTACCAAATATTCAGCAACTCAATAACACGCGGAAAATATGAACGTTTGATAAGTTATTGGATGTTTTACAAATTTAAATACTACTACGTTTAGTCTGAACTATTTTTTGACAGACAATCTGCTGTAATGGCAACTAATTCCCTTTTCAGTATTGTTGTTTTATTTTCAAGATATAATATTAATAAATGTTTAATAAATTGGTAGAGAGCACTTACAGATTATGTACTTACTGCTTTGAGCAAATGTGGCAGATTGTCGGGTTTCGTGTCAACGACGATACTATAAATGCCGCGTCCTTTGATGTCCCTCAGAACGTCCCGAAACCCTTGTTGGTCCGTCTTGCGAAACACATATTGGACATTTTTTGGAACTGGCAACTTCAGAAGCTCTTGTAAGTTGATGAGGGCTGAGAAAAATTAACATTAAATTGTTAAAACACAATTTGATCCCTCTGAGAAACTAATTAATCTAGCCATTGTAAGTAGAAATTGACTGGTAATTAATATATTTAGTTAGTGAGCAATTAAGAACGTTAGTAATAAGTGGGTGATTAAAAACGTTAGTAAGTATTAATTAGGGGGTAAGTAATAGCATTAGTAATTAGTAGGTAAATAAAAGCTATAGTAAGTAGTAATTCGAGGGTAACTAATAGCCTTAATAAGTGGAGATTAGCCTTGTTGGGTGGGCGTTGGGTCCATGTCCCAGAACTCGTGAGTTCGAAGACTCCCGCTGAAAACTCCCCGTGTAGTCAATGGTGACTGGAGCGCGTTAAGTCAATCGGGTCACATAGTCATTCATGTTCCCATAAAAATCATACCACTTTGGTACTGAATTGGTGATTGATCGTTCTCTGGTCCAGGTAAAAATTACGATCTGTAAATGACTGAATGGGCTCGCCCTATAAACGGACTGTGACGTGTATGTAGCTAAAGTCGTATTCCTGATCATAGATTTCGAAATTAAAAAACAAGAAATGCACCCTCTGCCTTACCTTCGCTTTGCTTAATCAATCAGGCTTGCTGGTATTGGCAAATGGCATTGGAAACAATAGTAGTAATTGGTGGATGACTAATAGCCTTAGTAAGTAGTAATTACCGATTAATGTACAATGTACTGATTTCTGGGCAACTCATATCTTTAGTAATATTAATAAATAACTAAGCAGAATGCAGCAAACCGTACGTTTCTATTTTTTTTTTTCAGTTTTCTTCAATGTCTTTTTATAACCATCTTTCATTTTTGGGATACTTATTTTGTACAATGATTAGTGGCTAACGAATTGCCTTAGTAAGTAGTAATTAGTGGGTTACTTATAGCCTTATTAAGTCATTTTTAGTGGGTTACTAATAGCCTTAGCAAATTTTTTTTATTGGGCTACTTTTATCCAAGAAGTAATTACCGGTTTCAGTAGTGATTTCTGGACAACTAATGTCTCTAGTTGTAATTACTAAATAACAAATAGTTTTTGCAAGCAATAATCACAGGGTGTTCTAAAAATGGCGGCTGATTTAAGAAATTAATTAAATTTTAAAGGAATGTTTGATATAGAAATGTATGGTTTGCTGCGTTCGATATAGAAATCTAGTTAATTTGTTTTTCACGGAGTTTTGAAACTAAGTACCAAGTTCGTTAGGAGATATAGATCGGCTGACAAAGATAATCTTTTGATAAAGCAATGGTTTCAAAATAACGACCGTTTGTAGAAGCTTAACTGTTGGGAAATTTCAGCACAATTTGACATTTAGATACGAAAAAAAATTTTGCTCCTGAAACAGAACGCAGCAAACCATACGTTTTCATAAATTTTTTATTTTTCCTTACTGTATTTCTGTAACCATCTATCATTTTTGGGACATATGTTCTAAGTAGCTAGTGTGGAGAGGAGTGCTCCCGCAATACAATTTAAGCAAATCTAACTTGAGAATTAATATTAAAAAAATAAAAGTAATTATGACTTTATCGATAAAATCATATATAACTGTGTAGAATCATATATAACTGTGTGTCCACCATTCAAAGCTCATACACTACGAATATTCAAGCATTATGTGAAAAAAACACCAATTAAAGACATAGCAAAACATTTTTATAACTGTAAAATTGGTGTGAAAAACGCATATGTGTATCTAAAAAAGTTTTATTATAAACATTCATGAGCGAAATTCTTGTTTAGTATTGAAAAGAGCTTATTTCATTTCATAGTTAGTAGTAATTAGTAATAGCAGATTTTTTTACGTCGTTTTCAATTACGACAGAGAAGAACTAATTCTGGGCAGTGATGGCCTGGTCGGTAGGGCGCTGGGCCCATGTCCGAGAGCTCGTGGGTTCGAACCCCTCCGGCCGAAGACTCCCCGTGTGGTGAAGTGACTGGTGCACGTTAAATCTGGCGAGTCGCAAAAGTACTCCCTGTTCCCATAACAAATCAATACTGGCGATACTGGATCGATAGTTATCTGATTCAGGTCAAAATTACGATCTGTAGATGAATGAATGGATGTATGAATGGGTCCGCCCTATAAACGGGTGCGACGCATGGTGCGGCAGAAGTCGAATTCTTGGTCATAAATGGCGCCACTGAACAACAAGAAGCTCACACTCTGCCTTAAATTTGCTCGGTTTCACCAAGCATGCTTGTTAGTTTGGCAAGTGTCATTAGAAACAACAACAACAGAACTAATTCCTAATTCAGTTGCCTCTGTAAGCCACATTATTGCATTCATGCTGTACATTTTAGTTATGTGTTTTTATAAATTGCTATCTTTGAAACTTCAAAGAATGCTTGCACTGTACATTATAAATTTCGAATTATTATCAATATGAAAACATGATTATAATATGTTATTTTTAGAAGATCAGAACAACGTTATGCAGTACCATTGTCGTCCTCATAAATTATGGCCACTTTTGTCCAGTTGAGGTACTTCGTCAGATCTCTAAGGGCTCGACCCAGCAGCCAGGGACTCGGAAATAAATTGATGGAAAATTCTTTCACCTCAGGCTCGACATCTAATCTGGCTTCTATGTGGGGGATATCTAAAGCATCACATAAACTTTGAATATGACTTCCCATAAGAGCATTTTGAGGACCAAAGATGGCGCTTACGCCAGAGTTGACTTGTTGGCAGGCTGAAAGGAGTATAAAAAAATTGTAGATCGTTAAGCAATTCTTAAAACAATATTTAAATATGATCTACTTAAAAACCATTACGTACTATTTTATTTATTCAAATACTGATAAAATCAGAAGTTAATATCAAATATAAATTTCCGAAAAGTATATAAAATTATATTGTTACAATTTTAAAAAAAAGTTTATGAATGCTTGTTTACGCATCAATTTTTTTTAATATTTCAAAATTACTATATGGAACTGACACCGAAAAAAAGTATGGTTATATCTACTAGAATATGTAAAATTTTACCGTATTTCTGACTCTATGGGAATACCAAACACCCATTAATTTTTACCGAAGCTCTAATATGACAAAATGTATTAAAGTTTAGTAGTTCCGTTAGGATATCTTAAAATATGACATGAAAATAATTTATTCGATTAAATTTTCTTTTTAATTTTGCAATTTTTACTAAATAGAACTATAACTTAAAATACAGAAATTCTGGGATACCTTTACCTCATGAACAGAAAAATTTCTTCACCAATGGTTTAAAATATTTTGGTTTTTTATTAAACAGAATTTGGTTTTTCCTCATTAGTATGCAGTAAGGAATTTCTAACTCTATGTAACTTTCTGTAACTTCTCAATTGTTACTTCTAACACTGTCAGTTGAGGTACTCCTTAGATCATTTCATGAGAAACTTGCACTTTTCACACAAAAATCGTCTACGACAAAATGTTAAATCACCGCTTACTCAAACGAGAGTAGAATGTCAAGTCTGTAAAAGGACCTTAAACCTTCAAAATATCCCTTTTTAGAATTCATTTAAATTAGCGAGGCTATTTATTCATTGAATAAATATATTGCATTCTTTTTATTTTCTTTAAAAAGCAAAACAGGATCAAATGTTTCTTTCTAACCGAATTACTTAATTTATGGATTAGGAAAAACGCTAAGAACATTTATTGCGTTTTCAAACTAGTTAATGCTGTATCAGAATTTTAAAAATTTCTAAAGCGAAATCAAACGTCCTCAAAACAGATCCATTTATTTTGAAGTTATTTATTAATAACGACATGTAAATTCTATAATCGGTTTTGTCGATTTTAGTTCGAATCAATTCTAGTGTGCAAATGGATGCCAACATCTATCACGCAAGATGGTGTATTGATAATGATAAATTAAACATTTGATTTCAAATTTCAGACATCATTTGCGTTAATTATTTAAAAGCGTTTTAATTTCAATATTGGAATTTTGAACACTAAATGATAGATTCTTTTTATTCACAAATAAAATGTCATAATTTTAATGTCGTAGTTTAATGACTTAATTTAATGGCATAGTTTAAAGATTTAATATATTTCTTAGAAAGCTAGATGGATATGCTACATACAATGGATTTTAAAATATTTAAAAAAAAGTAGTCAAAGAACCCTGAAAAAGAAAAACAGAAAAATTGCCATACTGTCTGAAAATGACATTTCTTATGTCAAAAAACAAAAAAACGCAATTATGCATAATGAAACCAAAGTGCACGATATTTCAAAAATTCATTTAGTAGTTTTTTTCCGTTCGTATAGTAACGGTTTACAGAAAATTTTGGTTTTCAAAATCATAGTTTTGGATCTTTATTTAGATCAACGATTTACCACACTAAAAATTCATTAAAACGAGGAAGTAATAACTTGGATACTTCAACTTATTTATTTTTGACTTTGCGTATTCGTTTTATTTATTGAAATAAAACAAAACAGTATCAATAAATTTAATTCGAATTCAGTGACTTTTGTTACTTCTTCAACAAGTGGTATTACCATACGACATTGCCACATATTTAGCAATAATTTCAAAACTGGGAAGTAAATTTAACCGAATAAATCGTTTTATGCCATGCTTTAAAGTATGATGATAAAATTATAAATTTTACTTCATTTACTACAAATATATTATAAACCCAAATACATGGTAAAAAAACAACAAGTTTTGGTGCTTAATCTAGCAAAATCATTATCAAAGCACTTCGGTAAAAATTTCCGAGATATTAATGCTCCCTTAGAACGAAAAACACGGTAACTTTTACTACATTCGGTCAAATTTAACTATATTTTTTTTCTCGGTGTACTAGAATGTCTCCGTGATTTCAGGATTTTTTCAAAAGGTAGAGTAATATAATGATAAGACTCATTTTAAAATTTTCAGGAGATTGTTTTCGATTTATCTTTATCACAATTTTAAAATACGATTTAAAATTTTCAAATTTTCTACTTAATTTTTTTACGATTTTTTATCACGATTCGCTTATTACCAATGAAATCATTTTATGTGTCTGAATAATTTCTGGTAAAAATTATCGTAACTTGAAAACTCCCAAGTACTTGTAATTACAGTTATAAATAGAAAAGTACTGAAGAATAATGTGTTGAAAAAATACTACCATTCATAAAAGTGTTAATCAAAAATTATTGTGAATTTTTAATTTAAATTCTTTCAACTCACACACAGTTCAAACCTTTAAAAGCAAAAGCAAAAACTTTCGTTTAAAGTTATCTGAAGCAATCATACTAAAACAAAAGCGAAATTTTTATTTTATTTTTTAAAAGAAGAAATGCGCTCTTCGTTTTAAACGCAATCATACAATTCTATATACATACGTAGAGCTGCGCAAAAACATACAACAGCACGATTTGTTTTTCCGTCCATGGAAGATTTAAAGAATTCTTTATAGAAATGTTTATCCATGACCGTCACTGGGACGAATATATTTCCTAAGAACATTTGCATAGAATATCTCCCAGTATTTGGGATTTTAGCATGGACGCACACGCCATTTTGTTTACAGTTAACAAATCTCCAAAAAGGAAATAGTGCCTTTGGGTGTTCTTTCTCGATTGAAAACAGCTTGGGAAAAAAAAACTGTTTGTACCTTATTGTTTACGGCAAAGAAATTCTCCGTAAAGGATATCGATATTTTTCATTTGTCCACGACTACCTATATGGGTTCGCTTAAAATACATCATCTCATGAAAATAAGTAAACTTATTTAGAATTAAAATTATTTTAGATTACTTTAGAATGTTTGTAAGGCTATTAAAATGTTAATAAAAATCTAATGGAATTTTTGTCATTTTAAGAGTTAATCGCTTGTCTGTTTTTCTACAAAATTGCTACTCATTATTGACCCGCTCTTATAAACACTGCGAGAGTTTCGGTATTCTCATGTCATATTAGCTCACCACTGTGTTCTTCAGTTCTTGGAAGATTTAAAGAGTTCTTTATCGAACTATTTATGTATGACTGACACTGGATGAAATATATTTCCTAAAAACACTCGCATAGAATGCCTCCAGTATGTGGTGTTCTTGCAAGGAACCACGCGTTATTTTGATTACACTTAACAAATCTCGAAAAGGGGAATAGTGCCTTTGGGTGTTCCTTCTTGATCAAAAATAACTTGAAAAGAAACTGCCTATATCATGTTGTTTGCAGTAAAATAATTCTCTGTAAAGGAAATCAGATATTTTTCATTCTTCCACTACTACTAACATGGACAGTCTCATAATAAAAAAACTGATTGAGTAATAAAATTGAAGTATTTTTTTAAAATCTTGATAAAAAATTTTCTGCACATTTTTGACTACTAGAACTTTGAAAATTGATTTCAGAAATAAAAAATAGCATTCACTTATATGCAATATTTTTGCCATTTTAAGAGTTAATCGTCTGTCTGCTTTTCTACAAAATCGCAACTCAAAATTAACCCATTTTTTTAAACTTTGTGTGAAGCGTTATTTTCTCATGTCCTATCAGCTCAACACTAAGTTTTTTAATCAGCGGGGAAACTCATTTTTAAGCTTTTCTTCTTCGGAATCAGTTAAAATAGAATATATTGAAGATTCGATTCAACCAACAGTTGACCCAATTCTGCATTAAGCAATTCTGTTAAACTCCGTAGCCTTGTAATTTTGAGCCCAACTCAGAAGATACGGGAACTCTTGGATCAAGCATTGGGATAAACTAGCGTTTGGGGAGGACTCTTAGATGGAGCTAACCGGCATTTGCGTTACATGGAGTGAAAAGCCACAAAAATATCCCACGGTTAGCCTGACGGTGAGGGGATTCTAACCCATGATTTGTCTACCACTGAGAATTTTGCTTTAACGCTGTAGTCAGTGGGAGTTGGGAGTAGAATTCGTATCAACCTGCCGCCTCTGAGATTCGAACCTGGGCTACATGATTGGGAGGCGAACGTTCTTTCTATTGAGCAACCGTGATTTAAATGTATAGATGCCAGATTAGATAGTAGATTGTATAGATGCCAGATGCCTGTTGGATACATGATAAAAGCCGACAGATTAAATTAGTATTTCATCATTCTAAAGGGCAATGCAGCCAATTAAATTACTAGTTCTTGAACCAATTGCAAAGAAACTTTATAATACCTGCCTTCAGTTTAGACAGAACAAGTTCATCTAGTGACAATAATATCTTTGTAAGATTTGAAGACTAGAGGTTCCCAGAAAATAAAAAAATAAACTTTAAAATTACTGATGACAGACAAAACAAAAGCTTCATAAAGTTGTTTTCAGTTTTGACTTTTAGTATAAAATGATTTAATTCAGAATCAAAATATTTTCTGATTACATATAATTACATATAATGTTACATGTGATTACATATAATCAATCTATTATAAAGTTTTTATGTTAAATAATGTTCTCAATGCTGTTGTGTGTCTAGTAAAATTGTAGCCCAATATCGATTATAAGTAAGTGTGTGAAAGTTATGCGAGCATGTCAAATGAATTAAGGCTGAGGATAAATAAATTATATTTGGTCAATTGAAAGTTTTCTTTGATCGCAGGTCACACACCTTGTCTTTTCAATTGACATTTTCAGGTATTTTATTCTATCGACAAAAATAAAATTGAAGGGAAAATAAAATGATTCGTGTTTAAGCATTTAAAAGAATCCGTAGGGGATTCAGATCAGCAAATACTCAATTCTATT